TTCAGGGGAAATTGAACTTTTTTCTCTCCTCACTTGAAAAAGAGGAGAGAAATCTGGTGTATCCAGATTTCCCATTAAAATATTCGTGCCTGTTGTGCATATTTTGACAAATTCTATATGTTTTAAATAATTCATAAAGATGAATAACTATGAATTCCATGCAGAAGGAGTTCATAGAAATGTTAGAAATGTTTCTGATTGACCAGGAAATAAACACTACATATGTTAAAGTTTATGATGAGATGAGAGAAGGAGTGAAATATTTGACAAAATAAAATAACAAATGTGGAAGAGATTAAGAAATCCATAAATATCAATGACTTTTTAAACAGCAGGCAATTTCACACATTAAAATGGGACAAATTGTTGTTTTGCTTCCAATTTTTTATTTTGTGTTGTTATTATTCTTGGTTATTTGTTTTTCAATATTCTTGTAGATTTATATATTTCTATTTTCTGTGTGAAAAAACAACCAGGATGTTTCACCATCCTGGTTCTATTCTGTTCTATTTCAGCCAGTTTCATTATAAAGTGGTGCAGTTGTGTGTGTGTGTGTGTGTGTGTGTGTGTGTGTGTGTGTGTGTGTGTGTGTGTGTGTGTGTGTGTGTGTGTATATATATATAGACAGACAGAGAGAGAGAGAGAGAGAGAGAGAGAGAGAGAGAGAATTAGACCAACACGAGCCACACTCCATACCAGTAAGTGGCGGTAATGCTACTTAAAGTTTGTTGCCAACCGCCAATAAACACAAGAAGAAGAAGTGGTGCAGTTTCACGTGTAAGACTGTAGGTGGAAGACTGCACTGCGGTCCCAGTGTTGTGTGTTCGTGTGAAGCAGCAGAAGCAGTCGCCGCTAAGATGTCTGCACCGAAAACTATCCCAAAAGATGCGCAGGTAACTTCCAGACATTTATAACATTAAACAGTTTGGTTTGACTGAACTAAAGCAGTTTCTGTCATATTAGCAGTTGTTCTGAACGGCAGCTAAAATGAACGGAGACTCTGTTTAACTTGTTAGCTTAGCTGTTAGCCGCTAGCTTTTAGCTCCGCGCTGTTTTCAATCGTAGGAATAAAAACAAACATTTAAGTTAAACGTATTATTATTTGTTGATTTCAGCTGAACACAAAGCACATTTAAAGAAGAGTAAATTCATACTTATGATTCATTATATTTATGTTTTTGCTGGAGCCTTAAAGCTAACTGCTGAGGTTTAAAACGGAGAGGTGTTGTGGAAAATTTGGTCACATGGCTATGCTGCTCAGTCAGCCTTTAATCAGTTGGTTAATGTGATGTGATAACAGATGCTGATGAAACATGTTTATTATTATTATGATCATTACATTTTGTTTCTCCATAAATCTAATTTGTTACATTTCTTCATGTGTAAATGAAATTATGAGAATCATGTGACTCGTCTGGTAAAATAAATGTTGCATCACCAGAATAAATCAAAGCTTAAGATTAAAATCCTTCATAGCTCTGATTTTATTCCTCATTATTATTGTGAACCTGAACATTAATTGCCATAACTGTTAGAAAGGAGCCGATCCATGTTTTAATGTAATGGTCTAATTCAACAAGCAGCTACCAATAGATTTAAAACACCACCTAAAGGAGAGACCAGATGACACTGGTATGTTTACAGAAACATTAAAAACTTTATTTAAAATATTTTCCTGTCTGATTGATGCAGAAAGAGTTCAGAGTATTTTCCAAGGCTTGCCAGAACCCATCAGAACCAGGCTGGTTCTCATGAATCCGCTCCATGTTTTCCAGGTGATGATCCAGATCCTGAAGGACATGGGCGTGACGGAGTACGAGCCTCGAGTCATCAACCAGATGCTGGAGTTCACCTACAGTAAGTCACTGAAAAATAAGAAGGTTCTGATCAGGTCACCTCTGACCTGTTCAGGTTGATCTCTAGCAGGAAGTGACCTCTGACCCCTGCTGTCTCCAGGATACGTGACGACGATCATTGAAGATGCTAAGATCTACGCGTCTCACGCCAAGAAGTCTGCGGTGGACGCAGACGACATCAAGCTGGCCATCCAGTGCCGGATGGACCAGTCCTTCACCTCGCCGCCGCCGCGAGACGTAAGCCCCCGCTAACCTGTGGCCCAGGGTCCGGTTCTAGTTCTGGTGTTCATAATGTGCTCTGCTTCCAGTTCCTGCTAGAGGCGGCGCGGCAGAAGAACCAGACGCCACTGCCGCTCATCAAGCCCTACACTGGCCCACGTCTGCCACCCGACCGCTACTGCCTCACTGCACCCAACTACCGCCTCAAGTCCATCCAGAAGAAGGTCTGCTCCTCTTCCTCACCCCAAACCCCTACTCTGATGCCCTCTGACCTCTCTCCTTTTCCCCTGCAGGTGTCGTCGTCCGCCGGCCGGATATCGGTGCCTCGCCTCAGCGTCGGCGCCGTCTCCAGCAGACCCACAACGCCCACACTGGGTAAGTCCAGAAGAGGAACCAGTAGAACCAGTAGTACACAGCCTGACCTCTGACCCCTCTGTCTGGTCCTCAGGAACCCCTTCAGTCCAGTCGGTCTCCTCCAAGGTTGGAACCCCAGTGTCTCTGACGGGTCAGAGGTTCACAGTCCAAATCCCTCCACCCTCCCAGACGGCCACCACCAAAACCAGTAAGATTTTAGAAGGACAGAGTGATTTTTGTGACATTTTGTGCTCCATAGACATGGATTTAATTCACTAAAAACTGATTAAAAGCACCAATTACACATTAACTGACTGATTGGACAGAGTCCAACAGTCCACAGCTGGACAAAATGATTCAAAGATGCAGTTAGAAAATTAATTTCAGTCATTTAATTCATATATATTTGACATAAAAGTTTCAACAGTGATCCAGGAGCCGAGTGGGGAGATTATCAGCCTTTGTAGACTCAATATGCCAATGAATGCACTTTGTTTTTCTTTTGGACATTCTGCGGCTGCATTTTGGAGTAAAAAAAGTCTTTTGGACTAAAGGGAAAAGTTTTTCATCAGAACATTTAAATCAGAAATGGTTTCTAAACTTTCCAATAAAACCAGAATATCACAGAAACCAGATAATTTCCATAAAGTCGTTCTGTAGTTTTTCATTAGCTGATTTGTGGCAGCAGAGTAATGGCGGTCATTTGTGTCTCCATAGCAACAGCGGTGTCGCCGGCCGTGTCCAACGTTCTGATCAACCCGTCTCTGATCGGCTCCAAGAACATCCTGATCACCACCAACATGGTGGCTCAGAACGCCGGCGGAGACGCTCTGAAGAGGAAACGCGAAGACGACGACGACTACGATGCTTTATGACCACAGCTGGACTCAGACGTAGACTCTGGTTCCTAGAACCAGGACAACATCTGCTCACATTTCCAATAAATTAAATAAAACCTGAAACCAAACGTGAACAAATCGCTTTGATAACCTGGAGTTACTGAGTTCAGATCAGAAATGATTTACTGATCACAGATGAACATTAGGCGATGCTGAAATAAATGTATCAGCATGAACTGATGCTGATACATGGGTCCAATCAATAGAACTGGGCCCATGTTAACAAATGAGTGAAGGAGAGTCGAGAAGAAAGAATAATTTCTGGTTCGGTTTCATTGTCCAAAGGGTAGACAAATATCAATATCAAAAAATATCGGGTATAACAGCAATAATATTGATATCGGCCCAGATTTACATTTCTGTGTTTTTCAAATGGAAATTGAACCGATATCCAGTATTTTTCACTTGTATTCTTAAGAAAGTCTCGTTTTACTGTTTCCTGTTAGATGCTGTGAGATAATCCACTCAGAGTGGAGTTTGGGTCAGAGGGACAGAACTACGTGGCTGAACTGCTTACTAATAATAAATGGTTTCAATTCAACTCTGTTCAAAAGTTCTTTAATTGTTGCCAAGAGAATTAAAAGTTTAGACTCAAATCATCCACATATCTTCAAAGAGTTGTGGATGGTGATGCTGTGCACAGGAAGGGTTTCCAGCAGCAGCAGTCAGTGTTGCAGCTAATCTAAAGAAGCCTCTGACTGAAGACGGTTGCTGTATGATTATGACACGTTGACAGATCAACATCCAGACAGCAGAGACCAAATTCAGCCAGCTGGTTTTAGTCGTGATCTGAAGAAACTCGTTCTTTTGGCTGATATTCAGTTTTCTGAAAGATCTGTGGTGCATAGTCTTCTTGTTTGGTTCTGATTCTGATGCAGAACAGAAGCAGAACCAGTAGGTTGATCCAGCAGCAGATCTTTACTCCATTCAGTGATTTCTGAACTACTAGCAGGATTAAGTCTTCTCCCAGTGAAGGACTGCAGAACTGGGCGATGTGCTCTATCTTCCTGGTTTTAGTCAGAACTCCTGCAGCAGAGTTCTGGATCAGCTGCAGCTGGACCTGATTTGTTAGCCAGACCTGTGAAGACGTTGCTGCAATAATCAAGAAGAGAAACGCCTGGATGAGTTTCTCTGATGCTCAGGCATCAGTCCTCTGATCCTGGAAATGCTCACTTCGGAACCGTCTTTATGTGGCTCTGAAGGGTCAGGTCAGAGGTCAGCCTGATCTCTAGTTTCCAGCTGAACAAGTGAAGCTGCTAATGATTCTAGATCTATAAGTCTAGATCATTCATTCCTCTTTAGGTTCAAAGATAACTTCAGTTTCTGTTCAGATGGTGAGTTCTGGACCACAGAGTCCGACCCAACTCCAGTTGTTTCAGCAACATGTTCTGGATGCCACTATCAGCTATTGGCTAGCACTGCTAATCCACCTCATTTGCTTTTGCCACTGCTCTGTAAATCTCTGGCTGGTCGTATTGTCGGACAGCCACGCAGAGACAATGGAGACGGAGATCTGATCTTTGTTAGGATGGACGGAAGAGATTCAACTTCCTGCTCCTCCTTTACTCTCTGGTCCATGAAGCCTCCTTTACAACTCTTCTGAGATTTGGAGTCTTAGTTCAAGTATTATTGGAGCTTTTGACATAATAATGATAATAACAAGAACCTTTATTTAAACAGGTTGATCCCACTGAGATCAAAATATAATTTACAAGAAAGGCTTGGTGTAGACTGGCGGCATACAGAGAAAAACATAACAAAAAAACACTTTGTTCCACCACAGAGTCACAGTAAACGTAAACTTACAATAAAACATAAGCAGTATGTGACTGTTGTCAGCATAGAAATAAATTTCCAAAATCATTAATATAAAAAATAAATAAAAAAGAACCTTGTACATAACCTTGTGGTACCCCTTTGTGAATAAATTGAACTCCAGGACAAGAAACATCAAACGGATCGGTCTGGTTCTGGTTCTATTCACAGTATGAGTAGAAAACCCAGCTGCTGTCAGACGGTCAAGTAGAAAAGTGTCAAAGGCCTTAGAGAAATTACAAATAGTGAAAGACAACACTGATTTTATCCAGACATTCTGTCATTTAGAAACTTTCCTGATGCAGGTCTATTGTTGTTTTTGTCTTTTTTTAATACAAAATCCTGATTGGCAAATCAAAGAATTAAATTGGAGCCAGATTTTCTTTTACTTGTTCACTAATAATGGAGTCAAAGACTTGTGTACAGATCATTTAGAAATTGCCATAATGTCAAAGCTGTTCCATCTCCGCTTTTAAAAAGGGGAATAAAAATAGATTTCTAATGTTGGGGAATTACACTGATCAACAAACTGCTTAAAAATGCAAAACAATGTCAGTTTTAAAAACATGGGTTCCAATTTATCTAGTTTTTTATTTTTTATTTTAAAGCTTTAACTACATCTGCAACGAGGATTTAACAGAAACCTTTGAAATAAAATAACCTCAAAGCCAGTTCCACATCACCAGAGAGAGAAATCCTCTCCCAGTCAAATAATGAAGATCCTGTAAATGAGCTTGTTCACGCATGTTCAATCTGCACTTTTCTACAAGTGGTACAAAGTGGCCTGGGAGGGGGAAAGACATGCAGCAAAGGTCATCAGCCTGGGACTCATGCCAGCTGCTCCATGCAAGGCTCCCACGCATTACCATGGTGCCACCGCCGTGCCCCAAGTTTAGCTCTTAACAGGCTCACGACGACTCCCAGTTGGGGAAACAATACCTTGTTGGCTTGGGGAAACAATACCTAGTATCATATCTGTCCAAAAATAAAAAATAAAAACTATAAAGTAGGAGAATAAGTCTTTATGAAATGCTCTCTAATTAAGTGGCTCGTAACCATTTTGCCCCGATTGACAATATCCACAAAACAAACATCTGAGACACTGACAAAGGCAGCAAGAATTGGAAATGCTTTCATCTGATGACTCTCTACCAGATGACAAAGAATCAGTTGACCCATAACCAGATGGACCTTCTCCATTCCTGGACTGTGACCCTTGTGGAAAAGACTTGGGCCTTGAAGCGTCGTCTTGTTGTGGAAAAGGTGTGGGGATTAATCTGTCACAGGGTTGTACTCCATTTTGTTGAACCATCTCATCGACTATCTGCAGGAAGCGTCGAACCTGCTGCCGGTCTCTGCTCTGGGTATTGTCGAACACGCAGTATCTTTCACTGCACCGTTTAATCAATTCAGAAACTTCTCTGCTGGCCTTGATCTTCTCCTCAAAGCGTTCACCTCCCAGACCATCTCCATGAGTAAAAAGCACCATAGTAGAGCCTAAAGCATCAGGGCCAAACATGGATGGGAAATACTCAAGAAAGCTATGATCTTTTGTAGAAAGTTTACTAATCTTTACCACTATGACCAAGGCATGGACTTGTTCTTCATGAAATGCCTTCAATATGTCCCCAGCTACTTCCTCAGGAGACCTGCTGCTGTCATCCACACCTGGAGTGTCCATCACTGTGATTTTCTGACTTCCTACTATGGCTGACCTGCTGTCACACGTCTTGGTACTGCATTCAAAACCACAATCTGGCTTGAACTTTTTTGATCCCAGAATGGTGTTTCCTGAGGAAGTCTTCCCGGCTCCACACAGTCCATACAAAACAATCTTTCTCTGCTCAGGTGGAGGTTTTTCAGCTGCAGACAGGATACCTGGAAGGAGAAAACAGACGCTTGAAAGAGATCATTCCAGAGACAGAAGACCATCAGACTCTTCTGCTGATTATGATCTAATAAAGGTTCTGTAGAAATCTCCAGCGATATTCAGATGTTTCATAGAACCCTGCTGTCTAAATGATGTTATAATGTGAGTCGTATTTCAGTACCCGTCTTCTGGAGCAGTTCTTCGGCCTGATCCTGTCCTCCATTATTGTTGTCGAAGCAAAAGTATCTTCCTTCAAACTTTTGAACGATCTTCTGAAGTGGAGAATCTTCTTCTTCGTTGATGAACTCCTCGAGTGTCCTGTCTAAACGATCGGCACCAGTGAAGAGCAAGTACGCTTTTCCCAGTCCGTATGGTTCAATGACTTTGATGGCGGTCTCCACTGCTTCCAGCTGCTCCACAGTGAATCGATCTATTTTCACTACAACCAGAAACAGACAGGATGAGGGATTCAGGTTCTCCTCGCAGAGGGTTTGGATCTCCTCCTTTATGCCTTTACTCAGAATCCCCGGCGTGTCGATCACTGAGATCTCTGTGCCAAACAGCGTGTCAGTTTCTTTCTTTATCTTGGTGGTCACAGATTTGAAGGTGCGCCTTGATTCAAACGCTGTTCGTCCTAAAATTGTGTTTCCTGAAGCACTTTTGCCGACTCCTGTATGTCCAAGAAGAACAATGGAAGGACGGCCCATTGTTGAAAACCCTGTAAGGTGAGAGAATCGGTTTGAAGAGGTGACAGTTTGTAACTTAGACAGGAGGAACATTTGACTTTCACTATATTATTAGCAAACAATAAAAAACTGCAGAGAGAAGAAAATATGAGAGAATGTGAGTCCTTCAGAAGTAGGTAGGTTGATTAGTCGGTTGGTGAGTTTTATTCTGAAATTAAGAAAAGAAAACTAACCATTCTGTTTTCCTCATTCCTGTCTTAAGATGGGTCCAAGCATTGAGAAGCAGCGGCCGATACGTCAGTCCATCCAGGCCAGAGTCACTCAGAGACACCGTTTCTCCACAGTCTCCTGTGGAAGTTTACATTTACAGATAATTATTGTGTAACACACTTTAAATGTTTCCTGCTTATTTGAGTTCCAGTTTATTTGCTGTCAAACAGCAGAATAAAGGCATTCAGGAGGTCTTCCACTGTCTGCTCTGATCAACTGTTAAAACCTACGAGTGAAAACTTTTCAAATTGAACATTTTCCTGTCAGGTACACAAACACAATGGTTTCTTTAAGATGCATGGGAGTTTTTAAGAAATCTCCAGCGGCTTTGATTCTATTTGATCAAAACATTCAATTCGACTGGTTTGCAAGCTGATTTTCTAATAAATAGTTCTCTTTTCCTTGTAGAACTTTCTATGCATATACAGTATCAGTGTCTTACCGTGACGAAGTTTAGCTTAATTTCAGTTTCTCTCCCTGAAGTCAGGTGACTTTATTTTGCTGGGCTAAATATTGTCTGAGCCTTCACATTGTACTTTACGGTAATACAACAGGAACGCTTTTGTTGGCTCTGCTGCTGCCTGTCTCATTATTGAGCCTTTTATTAAATAGAGATAATTTTGGTGATTCCAACTGATCTAAAAATAAAAGGTTTGTTATAATTTAACTTAAGTAAAAAAAAAAAATAAGTATAAAAAAAGTCTATGTGTCTTTATTCAATGCGAACTTCTACTTTCAACTATGGGAAATCAAACTGTTACAAAAATCTGCTACGACTGAAAACATGTCGATGTTTTGGTTGCTTTCTGTGGGGAACATTTACTGACCTAAAGAGACGAGAAGAGTGGGACCTCCTGCTGTGTCAATGTCAGATTTAATGATTCACATTTATGATTATTTAGAAGTGAAGAAGTTTTTTTTTTAAATTGCCCGTTAATATGTTTTTCAGGAAATTTTTCATTTATACTGTCTTGCAAAAATATATATTTATAATTTATTTACATTAAAAAGTAATTTAGTAAAAAAAAAGTGTGTATCAATAATATTATTAACTCCATAAAATACATCTGACCTGAACATGTAATGGGTGCTTTGATGAGGTAAAAAATTGTAAAAACTAAAATCAGCAAAGTGGATATTGATGATGCTACACTACACCTGGATCTATCTCCAAAACTGTAAAATTAAGAAAGGTTTATTTCTATAATATATATGGGGTAGTGACAGGTGATTCCTGTCACTACCCCTGCAGCTTTATTACCGTAATGAACCATGTAAGTGTGACCCTAACTCCCCGTTGCTCAGACTCGTAGCGTAGGTTGGGTATATAATCTCAGATTGAGACACTACGTTTAATCATGTCTGAAATTCTTTATTTCACACATCTTCGGAGTTCAAGGAACAACTCCGCTTGAACTCTGATTTACTGACTCCGGCGTCTTCGCCGGTGGGGAAATGATGCAAACCCGCCGTGCGTCTGAGAGACTTTCTCTGAAACTTTCTCCTCTTGATGTTTTTAACTTAATATGTTGTTGGGGACTTTTCTCAACCCTTTAACTCGAGGTTTTATTGACTTGTCGCTGTTTCTGGCCTGTCCTAGCTGCTTCTAAACTCAGACAGGTGAACATTTCCGGGTTGTTCTCTTCCGTGTTCTCCAGCGAACCGAGCAGACAGACAGGACGACATGGCGCAGGCCGCGGGGTTTGGTAAGTTTACTAACCAGTAGTTATAAAACCAGCTGATGTTTTATTTGAAAACGAGTCTCGTTGCTTCATGGCTCATTTAGTCTGTTACGACAGAACATGCAGTAAATGTAACTTTGTGTTCCCATGGTTCCCCTGCCCTGGCGTTGCTTTCACATTATTGTAACTGATTGCATGTTTTCCTAATATTATTCTACAAACTGAGGGATTTTTGACAGCAATGCAAACTCAGCCATGTTCATCTGTTTCCACAGAGCCAAGAGGAAGAAGTAGAAGCAAGGACCGCCCTCCAGGTATTATATTACTCTCTATATATATATTTATATATATTTATGTATGTATGCAATAGACTCAGGAAAATATCACAACAAAGCTGCTGAACAAACAAGAGGTCTCACTTCAACGCTACACTGTGGATTGCTGCTCCATTTTTGGCTCCACTACTACAGAAAGTTTTACTGAACTTAGAGAAGTGATACTTTGTAATATAGAAATAAAAGTGAAAGTGGTGTAGTGGAACTCTCTGTGAAGTGTATTTTTAATTAAAAAAAGGTAACTTAGGTAAATGCAACTTGTCACTACTCACTTCTGTATATTGTGTACAGTTAATATCTCCTTTTTTCATAAGTTAATATAATAATTATCTTTAACTGGTTGAGAATATGGCATGAATACAACCTGCTAAAGGGCCTGTATCATGTCAAATCTGCTTTTTGTCTTCAATCATGTTCTCATGTTTTTCCATGTTGGTTTGATTGTTTCATGTGAGAAAAATCCTTTCATCTCCATGGCAACCATTCAGATATAAAATGCCTCAGTGGACCTAGCCCCGCCTACAGGGCGTAGCTCCTTCCCCACTCAGCTCCTTCAGACTAGCCAGCAGCAATTAGCAAACAGCTGCTGAGCTCATTATAGGAGTTACTGTTCAGAACAAAAAGACATTGTTAAAGGGTTAACAGAGGAGCCATGATGGGATGACTTCCTGGAGGTGGAGCTTCTTAAAGAGACAGACCCCCAATTTCAGGGCATTAAATCAGAAAGTAAAATTTTTATTAAGTCACATTTGATACAGAGAGTATTTTAATAGTAACTGAAGGTAAAATAGTTGCTGATTGTAACTATATTACACTCCAGGAATTATGTTAGTAAAAATTATACTATGTAGTGAGAAAACATGACACTGCCTCTTTAAACCATGTTGAGATGCGACATGATTTATTAGAGAAATCATATCACATGTAGTAAAATGAGGTGTTCATTAAGAAAGCATAATATTGAGTAAATCATTGTGACTTGGTTTACTTTCCTTCTCCAGTTTTCAGACTGGTTCTTGTTGGGAAGACTGGGTCAGGGAAGAGCTCCAGTGGGAACACCATCCTGGGCAGAGACGCCTTCGGAGCCGCAGTCAGTCAGTCCTCAGGTATATAAATCTCTGTTCTGAAGTAGACATGGAGCATCTGCACCAGTCAGAGCTGATTATTAAGGTCTTTATATGTGAGAATCTGAGATTATAATCTGGATTAACAAATCAGCAAAAATCTGATTTGTGTTTTTAGTTCCCATCAGAACTCTGCTGCAGTGTTCTGGATCAGATGAAGGATTTTAGCTGCTCTTTATGAACTTCCTCACAGTAATCCACCCAATCAATCAAGGATCAATTTCTTTTAAAATTTATGATTTGCTGAATGACCATAAACTGTATTTTATTATCACTGTATTACTATCATATGACCAGCCCCTCCTTATACACAAGCTGTAAATAACCAAACACTACTAATATTAACTGGTTGATAATATTATCCAGTTTAGTTATAAGATGTGCATCTCTGTAATAATTTCATCCCAAGCTTTCAATGCTGATCAGACACCATCCCACTGTGACCATCATGATGTCATCAGTACATCATGATGTCATCATATCCTGAGTGTGTCCTCTGTGTTTCTCCCAGTCACCAGGCAGTGCTGTAAGCAGGAAGGCGAAGTGTTTGACAGAACAGTGACCATCGTCGACACGCCGGGTCTCTTTGACACGTCGTTCTCCGAAGACTACATCAAGAGAGAGATCTCCAAGTGCATCAACATGTCAGCCCCGGGGCCCCACGCCATCCTGCTGGCCATCAAGGTGGGGCCCTTCACCAATGAGGAGCAGGACGCGGTGAAGCAGGTGGAGGACATCTTTGGGCCGGACGCCTGGAGGTACACCATGATTCTGTTCACCCACGACGATGAAGCTGCTGAAGACGTGAAGCTGCAGCTGCAGGAGTGCGGCCCCGAGCTCCAGAGCGTCCTGCAGAGGGCCAACAACCGACACCTGGTGCTCAACAACCGCAGGGCCCACGACCGCAGCCAGGTGCTGGCGCTGCTGGAGAAGGTGGACAGCATGGTGTCCGAGAACGGAGGAGAGTTCTACTCCAACCCAACCTACCTGCAGGTGGTGGAGATGCTGCAGCACAGAGAGGAGGAGCTCAAAGCGTTCTACCAGAAGCAGCTGGAGGAGCAGACCAGAGCCTTGGAGCTGAAATATGAACAGCTGCTGACTGCTGCTCATGCTGAAGGGTCCAAGCTGAAGAGAAAACTCCAGGCTGAGATACAGGAAGTTAAGCGTTACTATAACAGGTTACAGCACAGGAGACGCCATGTTATAGAGCAGAGCATTGCACAGGACTCAATGAAGGATATTTGCCAGTTCTCCATGACGCTGAAAGTGAAGATCAGCTCCTAAAGACCCAGAAGTCTTTGTTTTCATTACCCAGCATGCATCAGTATCTGGATGAACAGTCCAGCCTGGAGGTTCTGGTCCGCACTCAGGTTCCTCTGAGAAACCACTGCGGTCCAGTCAAAGTCCTTCAAACTGAAACATTTCAGCAGCAGAAGACCAAACATTAAGCCTGGAGGTTCCTGAAGGAACTAAAACTTTCTGCTACAACAACGAGTTTCTGCCTAGTAGGGGGTTTTCCTCGCCGAACTGGCAACCAATCATTTCATTGTTGATCTCTAACTGTAACCAAGTCTAATAGATAATATCTATTATTTATTCATAAAAACATTAACAAGCAAAAGTTGATAATTGATGAAAGTTGTTGTGAATGTCAGAGTGATAATGAGCCGAACTCTAATTCTGCGGTGTTCACTGAAGTCATCAGAACCAGAACCTTTTCTGCTTCAGACCTGCAGGAGAAATGCTGCCGACCTCAACAGAAACGCTTCTGACCAGCAGAGAGCTGAAGATTGTCTAGGATTTTCTAACTGCTTTAGGGTCATGTTGAAACCAAAATCCCTTTGGTTTCGTTCAGTGAGGTGAACTTTGTGAACTGAGCTCCACATTAGTTTGGGACGGCGGATGACGTCACGACGGCTGGTTGGACTCTGCAGAGAGACGTCCTGCTGCTGAGCAAAGAGCAAAATTTATGACCTGAATTTTGCTCAATAAAGACGTGATGGTCAGTCTGAATCAAATTGTAATAATAACCTGAGAAAAATGGATGTGATAGTTGGATTAAAAGGTGCAGAGTAATCCTAATCAAGTTGAAAAAAAACATAGAAAACGTCCTAAAACATATTTCTTTTACACAGTGTTATAGATGAAACATTTTCAAAATCTTTTACTGTTTTACATGTCAGACTTTTAATCGTGTCTTTTTGATAATAAATGGAGGAAACAGCTTTCTAAATCTGAGGAATGTGTGTGTTCATTAGAATCAGTCAGACGGAAGCAGCTTCAGCCGCCACAGATCCGTGAAGCTGAAGAACCGTGAAAATGTTCCACTGTGACCCATCAAACGCTCCCGAACCAAACCCAGAATTCGCTCCGGCAGACGGATAATCTCTGGTTTCCTCTCATAATCTGGGTTTTCATTCTGTCTCCCCGCGTTTGCAGGTTCTTCCTGCTGCTCGCTGAGTCCAGATTCGAGCAGATTCAGGCGAGCTAAATATTAAATATGACTAAATATTAAACCAGAAATATCAGAACTGTTTCCTGTAAAATGTAAAAGTTTAGCTCAAAGTGGAGAAAGTTTGGTGAAAATAAAATGACGTGATAAACTGAAACCTGCAGAACTTCAGGGAAATCAAACTTAGTGTAAAACCTTGAGGAATCGTCCAGCTGCTGTTTGTTCCTCTGCACAAGTTTTTCTAAGTTATTGAACTTTTTATCCTCAGAGAATCTCCTCCATTAGAGCTGCTGTCAATATTTACTGCTTTAATAATTAATGATGTCAAATGAGCCGCCTGGGGAGGAAGGAGCGCTCCTCATCATCATCATCACACCCAGAGGATTACATCACTCAACACACCGTCTCCACGGCGACCACCCAGTTAATGCTGATGACTTTAATGTTTAATTCTTCAAGATTGGAAACAACTTTTATTAATCTGCAGTAACTGTACGGTCCAGGTGCTGCAGATACCTGCTGGTCACCCAGTCATTCAGGTGGAATAGTTAAAGTACGGGCCCCTGTGGGCCAGGGTGGTAAACCCCTTGTATAATACACAAACACATGAAGCCCAACAGAGGTTCATGTCCACCGGGTCAGAACCAGAACCACTTTAAAGGTTCCTGGATAAATGTTCAATATCAAGGAGAATCCAGAACCGGAACAGAACTTTACAATATTTAACAATAATGTAAAGTTTATAGTTAACTACAAAAATTACCAACTGGTGTGAAGTAAAAGTTTAAAACGCTTTATAAGATAAAAAATAATACAAAATAAAGGGTTTAAAGCTCTGCTTAGAATATATATATATATCTAAATATTTTCTGTTATTTCTAAAATCTCGCAAGATGTTTTCAAGGCCAACCATCAACTCTAGAAGATTCTTCTTGTTTTTGCGCCATTGGACAGACAGCTGATGGTTAAAAAAATGGAAAAAGAAAAAGTTGCGTGCTTTCTGTCTTTCTCTTTTTTATGAATAAAGTGGACTTAGAGTTGGCTTTTTTCCCAAACCATTGATAAGAAATGTCTTACCTGATTTGAATCTCGAGGTGAATCGAAAATGTTTAAACAGCTACATAAATATGGAAAGTAATGCTACTGGAAGTGACATACCATGCTAAGCTAGCTAAACAACTGACTGCTGGCCGACTTCACAGTTTTACGGCATTATCTTGAGTCTTACGGCTCCCAAAACAAATTAGTGCGGATTTGATGGTTCGACGCTTCATTACGTAAACTTTACCTCGGCTAAAACAAACGGCAGCTGTTGTTTTCAGTCTCAATGAAAGTTGAGGACCGTTATGATAAAACCGCCATTTCTCCAGCCTCCCTCCCTGTCAGGAGCGCGTGCAGTCCTCATCCGCAGACGCTATTATGACGTCATTCTTCCAGTTGAAAAGTACAAATTAACCTGTTACTGTTTTTAACACTGCGTGATCACAATTTTACTAAGTTGAATGTTTTTTTTTTTTTTTTTTTTTAGCCTGTCACAGGATAGTGACGTTTATTGTCTGGGTCTGATTTGGGGTGAATCTGTATGGCGTCCAGATGTTAAAAAGTTGTTTCTGGTTCCCAACAGTTTCAAACAGAAGTAAATAAATTGTTGTTTTTGTGTACATATATACTTGTCTTGGAAGTCTTGATTCATAGCTACAAGTTTACTTTAGTATATTAGAAGATTACATGAGCTTGACATGTGACCTCATATTCATTGTGAAAAGTGAATAATATGAATTGGAAATTTCCATGGTTAAAAAAAGGTGGTCCCGTTATTTTATAATTGTATATATTTTCAACTGTTTCACACCTGTGGCATGTGTTGCAAATGTGTATGCCATGTGATCCACATGTGTTTCACGTATCTTATGTATCAATCTGTTTCACATGATACACATATAAAACGTAATGCAGTAATGCACATGTGATATATTTCCACATGTGGAAATGTGTGAATCACATGTGATTTCACCATCTTGGAGTGGCTGACCGCTGACCAGAGCAACCCAATGCAGGGTCTACTCATTTATTATGTCTATTGCTAAATGTAGCTGAACTGGCATCAAGCTAGCAGACAGACAGAAGCAATCGAGCTGTCGAGATCAGATCAGATCCAACTGGAAGAAAAACAATTCATCAGGGACAAAAGGTGAAGATTCGGAAAACTCTGAAACCAGAGATATATCATTGATCCTGTCACTCAGCCTTCACCAAACGGTCAAAGGTCAGGATGTTTTCAGTTGTCTACAGCACAGTGTTAACCCAATAGGTCAGACCCAAACATTCTGATTATCTCAGTAAAAACTTCAGTCCGAACTCAGTAGGAAGAGATCCCAGCAGCTCAGGATCCGGATCTCAGACCAGTGGAGGTCAGGGTCTACCCCACCGGACCAGAACCAAGATGGAGGCTGTGCAAAGACTGAAACAGGCAGCAGCATTGTAGCTGGTTGGTAAAGCCAACATGAAGCATCATAACCTGGATCCTGGAACAGCCTAACGTTTGACCAGATTCATTAACTCTGGGACTGAAGAGTCTGACATTCTGCTGAGTTCCCTGTTCCAGACCAATAAACATGATGACCAACCAACTAGGCAGACAAAACTGAAAAGATCCTCAGAGATCTGGAAGAGAACCATCAACCTTTAGAGGACAGACGTATAAAAGCTCAGAGAGCATCATCAGGAAGAGAACAGCTGTGGTCTTTTGTTTTTATTCATTCAGTGAATTGTGTTTTTTACGAATCAGCAGGTCTGACCTTTGTGAACATTATCATGAAACCATTTGTGGAACTTTGGATGTAAACGTTTTTGTTTCTCACCAGAAACAATAAAGTGTGTAACGTCCCTCTGAATCAGTAATGATGTTAATGACTCGGTGCTGCTCTCTGGTCATGTGATGTTTACAGCTCTGAGCTGGTGGCAGCAGAGAGAGGATGAGATAAAAGCTGATGACAGGAAGTCGCCCTGCCAGTCTGATGATGCCGGGGTGTAGTGGCGGTGACCTCTGTGGCCCTGCTGGGTGTGTGATGATGCAGTGATGCTGAGCAGGAGGAGTGCGCTGAACGTGACGGTGACGGGGCCTCACCAGGGGATCCTGGGCCTGGTGCTGTTCACCATCGTCACCACGCTGCCATGCTGCATGTTCCTCTTCATCAACCTCACCATGCTGTACACGCTGCGCAGCCGGCCGCTGTTCAGAGAGGCGTCCCGCTACGTGCTGCTGTTCAACCTGCTGCTGGTGGACACCGTGCAGATGTTCCAGAGCCAGTCCATGTATCTGCTGTCCGCGGTCAGCCTCACGATGCTGTACCCGGTGTGTGCCGCACTCACCGCCTTCAGCAGCCTGGCCCACTGCGTGTCCGTGGTCACGCTGGTCAGCATGTGCCTGGAGCGGTACGTGGCGGTGTGCTACCCCCTCAGGTACAGCGCCATTGTCACCCTGAAGAACACCGGCGCCGCCATCTGCGTCATCTGGGGCTTCAGCTCCTCCCACGTCATCATCCAGCTCAGCCTGATGCTGTCCCGCTTCTCGTTAGCTGACCTGGGGGTCATGCAGATGGTGCACTACTGCGGGAATGAGAGCGCCTTCATCGACCCCGTGTCTGACCTCTACGACAGAGCCTTCACCTACTTCCTTTTCCTGCTGGGGGCGGCCACCATCTCGTTCGCCTACGCCGGCATCATCATGGCGGCGCGCTCTGCATCCACGGACAAGGCGTCGGCCGTGCGGGCGCGGCGCACGCTGCTGCTGCACCTGCTGCAGCTGGGCCTCAGCATGTCCTCCACCGTCTACAACTCGCTGCTGATCGTCATCACCGGCAACCTGGAGCGCGTCCCGGCCGTCCGCCTGCAGATCAGCCTCTACATGGCCATCATCATCCTCCCCAAGTGCCTCAGCTCGCTCATCTACGGCCTGAGAGACCAGAACATCCGGCCCGTCCTCATCATGAACCTCATCTGCCGGTGCAGAGGCTCCGCTCTCGACACCAGAACCAAGAACAGAACCAGAGTCCAGATCAGCTGAGACGTTCACTAGAAACTGGGAAAATAAAGACGATGATGGGAGGAAGTCAGAATGTTCAGCAAATAAATCTGCAACTGTTTTCACTGAACCGATTATATATGGGAAATGAAAAATAATAATGTTTTTATTTGCAGAATGTCTTCAGGAGATTATAAACATGTTTATCTGATTATTAAAACATGAAGCCGATTTTTCATGAAGAACTTGGAGTAATTTGTTGAAACCTGCAGCCTTTAAGTGCAGGTTTTTGATTTTTTTAAAAAACATCTGAAACATTAATCTGACTGTGCTGAACATTAATCCTGCTGTGTTTAGTGAACCTTCCTGCCTTAATGTTGAATATGAAATATCAGGATTGTTATTATGTTTATATTTAATAGGAAGGAAAACAGATTTCTATCATAATCAGATTCAGGCTGAGATCCAGGATGTTTAAATGAAACTGGATCATTTATAGCTTTAGAGCGATTTCTCTATCTGCATAAAAATGGAATCACAGTAAAGTTCTGCAAACACTGAATTCCTCTAAATGCTAACATCTAATTAAGTTTAAACATGTTTTTGATTCATAATAACTTGATTCATTTTAGTTTTATTCCAATTCTCTGTTATGTCTCTTTATTGTGTTGTGACTTTTTAGTTTTGTGTTTTTGTCATTTGAAGCGGTTACACATTAAACCTCCTTCTAAGGTAGTAATTATCCTGCCTTGCTGAAAGGTCAGAGGGCAGCTGGAGGTTAGAAAACTGATCTGGTTTGAGTTTGGCGAATAAAACTAATTGGATTTTATTTAAGTTTATCATTAAAATAAAAAAATCCATCAATAACATGTTAAAGTCTTGAAAGTTTTAATGTCTTTATAACTCAGAGTAAAGAGCATCAGTCATTTTCTCTGGTTTTCATCTTCATCGTTCTGCTCCTCATCACATTTCACTGCTCAGCTCTAAAACGCACAGAGAGAGCCCTTATATCATTTTTGTGTATTTTGAGTGCCAAGTAGTGCAAAAAAAGTACATTTATTAATTATTTTTGCTGTGCTGAGTCTATGTTTTTATATTCTATGGGTCATATTTTCCACTCTGTTAATTTTTCTCTATTGCCTGTAATGTTTTCTTGTCTTTTATGTCACATTTGCTGTGGAACTGCTCAAAAACGGTCATGATTCCCAGGTAATCGGTTTGGTGAGGCCTCTGTTTTGCTTTCCTTGCAGCACTTTTGTCGTCCCAAGATCAGTTATGTTGAAGTTGTAAGTAAACAAGTCAAAATCCTCTGTTCTTGTGTGTATTAAATCAACGGTTCCTTACATAGCCGCCTGGCATCAGAGTCTCTTTGATTAAATTTTATTTTTTCTTGGGAACGTACTCACATTAGTGCAGAAAATTATTTTGCACAGAGCACTTGAAGACGAATGTTTCAGCAACCTGTGCCAGCATCAAGAGGGATTCAAAATACTTAGTCTGAGAAGTAACTGATTGTGGGTCAGTTCCTTTTCTACTGGAACACAGCAACAAAGCTTGTATTAATAAAGTTTGCTAATTGCTAAGTAGCAATTTTGACATGTTTGTTTATGTGTGGCATAAACATAGCTAGTTTTTGTCAATGTCCACACCAGGTGGTTGGTTGAAGTGGGGAGAGGAAGGGAGGCTATTTATAAAAATGATAAAAATTTCATCCTTCATCTGATCTCCAAACTTTAAAAAAAAAAGTCACACTTTGATCCAAATGAGCTCATAAGTTTCAGGATAGTTTTCTTGAATTATTTTTAATATTTCAGACACTTTACATATCTTCATATGCCCCATTCTGGTTTTTTGGACCAGTTTGTGTTTAATACAAACATTTGGACTTTTCCCAATCATCAACTAAACTGCTCACACCAGTGAAACACATCAGTCTCAGTCGTTCTTCAGTTTGGTAAGAATCTGTGCTTCTTTGTTTGAATAAAACTAAATCAAACTTTGAGACTCAGTGCTCTTAAAGTTTATTATTGTTTTCTGCATTCATAATTAAACAGAACAGCATGAAAAAAAATCCAGCTCAAAGGAGAGGCAAGGTTGGTTCTTTGGTGTTATTTTCAGATTCTTAGCACAAACTGACAAATTTTACATACCCTTAGAAATCTTGACCATAGAAGAATCCATGGATAAATGAGAGTTCACCTCCATCCACTGTGTAATCATCCTATTGGCCACATGGTGAAGCCACATTTAGTCAGCAAGATTTAGAACATTTGACTCAAACTGTGTTTAATTTGTGTCTTTAAACCAAATTATATCAACTTAAAACAGATTCATCTAAAGGTAATTGATTGTGGCTCACCACCAGACCTTCACAATGAAGTTTTAGGACATTAAGCCTGGTCTGAGTTCATCTATTGGTGATTCAAATGATCGCCAATGAAACCAGCTTATTAATGTAAGCTAATTTATAAAGTTTAGTAATTGTATTTGGCGACATGGTGGAGCCACACACCGAAATATCTTGGCAAACATGTCTAAACTTTGAGTCAAAATGATCTCTGGATAATCCCAAGTTTAAATGAACCATTTAATCCACCGTATCTCTGTAATGTAATGTTTATCCGGCTGTAATGTCATTTGCATCCTGAGTATTTTTCAGTGTTTTCTGTCATTTTAGTTTCACACTTTATTGCATTAAATCGTATTCATATACAACACCAGGCCGTTCATTCAACAAAGTGGTGCAAGACACAATGTGGCTGATGGTGAACAATGTCAGAACAGGGAAAATCAGTCCAGACATGGAGAGTGAAGACGTGTTCATCTGAGCAGCTGGTGAAGCTGAAGGTTCAGCATGAAAATAATGAGGCTTTATTAAATCCAGCTTTGGGAAAAAGAAAGTCTTCAGAAGATATTGGGTTTAATTTAAAAAGCAGTTAAAAGACTTCTGGGAGTTTGAGTTGTAAACGTGAATTCACAACAGGACAGTCTTGATGCAGTTGTGCTTTACAGGAATAACTTGGAAGCATAAAAGTTGCAGGAGCAGAGATGCACAACGCAGAATTACTTTAGGTTTGGGTTTGGACTTTAAAGAGAGATTCTGTAAATATAAAATTGTTACATTTTAAACTCCACCTGTAATTTTCTGTTTCATCACCACACCATCACTTGCTCTGTTTCTAACCACCAGATGTCACATGTTCACAGGTAGAACATGTGACAGATTGAATATATCTGAGCTAAGATGAAACAGAAACTATTCAGCCTCAGATCAGCAGCAGCAGCAGCAACAACTGCAAGGAGCAACAAGAAGAGACCAAACATGAGTGATCAAACTCCTCTTCTTAGTAAGAAACATTTATTAGTTCATATTTTTGACTCTCTTCCTCATTAGATATATTTTTTATATCATTTTATCTAATTAATATATTTATTTCTCATTTTTAATGTTTTCAAACTATTTCTACACATCATTGTTCAGTACCTCCATATTACTATCTTTAAAGTTTAAAGATTTCAAATTATAAGAAGATCACCAGATTTCACCATTGAGTAACTTTATAAATGAGGTTGTGTGTTGCAGCTCACTGCTTCAACTTTCTATTAATATCAGAGGATATTTTCTGTTTTATTTTCACTGGAGTGTAGACTTTTATAAATTCAGTATTTAGTATTTAATCATTTTAAAAACGTAAATGTTTCACAGTCTTCATCTCAGTTTGTTTAAAGTTGTGACCCTGGCTAAGTTGTTTGCTTGGTAATCAAAAAATAGTAAATGTCAATTTTACCAGAAGCAAACTAAAGGCAGAGAAAGTTAAAGGAAACATTGCTGCAGCAAACCTTAGTGGTTGAAAACAGATTTAACTGGGAGTCAGTTTCAGGAAGCTGCAGCACTGCATCAGATTAAGAGAAGCTTTATAATTTCCCAGTTAGAGTTTTAGATGAGCCCCGGGTTCAATAACCATGAAGAGTTATACTATTATGCGTTTTCTAATATGTAAACATTTTATTTCTTAGAAGAAATGAAGATGACTGGAGCTACTGGAACAGAAACAGAAGGTAAACTTAATGCACATATTTTACTTTTCAGAATGTTAAAACTAAATTCCAGACCATTTGGATTCAGGAACCAGCAGCAGGTCAGGGAAAGTGTTGTAACGATGTTTAAAGCAGAGTTAGTATGTCTAACATCCCAAGCTATGAATATCTTACAGAGCTCTGATCAATCCTGGTGGACTCTTTTCCACAGCAAACATGTGGTCGTCTGATCAGAGGAGATCAGAACAGATCTTTCTGATAATCTTTTAGATTTTATTTGGAAAGATATTGAAAATTACTTTCTGCTTAATTCCTCTTCACAAGTATCTTCACATAAGGCCATGTTAGAGAAAGGAAGCATTGTGTTTTGTAATCAATCATGTGGTCTGCCCACCATTTCACGCATTGAACGTCTCATGTTCCTGTTCAACAGGTTTTTTCCCTCTCAGCTTGAGTGACCATGGGTGCGGCTAACAAAATGAAAGTGCAGACAGAAATGTTTTAATCTCATGGTAAATTTAATAAAATGTAAAAGACAACACATACAAGAAAATACTTGTCTTGTGAAAAACAGGTAATAGAGAGTTGACCATGAGAGAGAATCTGACAAGGAGCACAGTTTTATAGGGAGGTCATCATTCCATTCACATAGTTAGAGAATCTACATCGATACAAAACCGAATCGTTTTCTTTCATAAGGGAAATTAAACATTCAAGGATGTTTATGATGGTTCATAAACAACAGTTCAAAGGGCATTACATCAAAAACACAAAAAAACAAAGTAATAAAAACAGTTGAACAAGCAGTGCCATCATCATGCATCAAATAAGTTTGTTAATATTATTCTGATTCAAAAGCAGCTTTGACAAAATTTGAAGGAATTCAGTGTTTCAGCTACTCTGTAATTCTGCTGATCATTTAGTTGTGTGTCAGTTGCAGGAAACCCAAACTTAGAAATTATGTTCAAATTGAGGATCTGTTTAAAATATTCAATTAAATATGAACAGAAGGCAGAGATCTCTGGAGAAAGGAGCTGGAAACAAACTGTGGTTTTGTGAGCTTAATGTGCTTAAGGAAGAGTTTTATTTTATAGTTCAATGTTTGTTTTATGATTTGACAAATAATCTGCTTATGAAGATGCAACAGAAAGCACGTCTTAGTGGCTTATTTAATGGAGATATTGTTATTTCAGCAACATTTATTGATCACAAAGAAAGAGTTTTTAATCCATTATTGTATATTTTAGTTATGGAATTGAATTTTGTAAATGTTTTATGTTTGAGAAGCTTGTTCAGCAGCCATCTTGGTGTCATTCAGTTCCAGTTCTTTCTTATCTATAAAACCATCAGGATGTATTATTGACTTGGATTTCCTCTTGTACTACTTAAAATACAAAAGAAGAGCTTTTCCATTCTTTCCTGAATGCTCTTTGTAAACATAAATCTTGACAGTGACATGTCAAAGGGTGATGTGAAGTGCACAATTCAGAGACTGAGGTCCAGACAAAAGTCAAGGAGCAAAAACAATCTTTAATACATCTGCAGACGGAGAGCAAGAAATATACTGCATTAGGCACAAATTAGGATCCGCTCTGAGGAACCCAGAGTTGCATAGTTACTTTATTCATCTCTCTTTACTACCGAGGCGGAGACTCAATCTTCGAAGACCAAACAAAAGAAACAAAGGAAAACATACGAAACCTTGTATGCTCATTCACTGTAATGTCTATGGGAGGTGAAAACTAAACACTCTATCTCCATGCAGGGAAGGCCACGGGAAAAACAGCAAGTTCCCAAATAACTGTCTGGGGAAGTTCAACAACCCTGGAAACTTACTTCAGTAGACAAATCTTGTTTCATTAGTTTGTACACCGTTTCCAGCTGCACAGAAAAACATCTTGACTGTGATTCAAAAAACATTACATTTATATGACACATAAAGGAACATCATTTAATACGAATAAAACTTCTTCACAGTGATGATCAGCCTTGTATGTCTAAGTATTTTAGTCGGTTTTTGGGAATAAAATTTAGTGATGAACTGTCAGAAAAACGACGTAAACAAAAACAATAGAAATCTCACATTTTTTACTGAATACTAAGTCTATAGCTGCATCATTTATCTGGGAGGGTATTTTATAAAGTTAAACTTATGAAGGCTAATAATTTTAAATATTCCTTCTTAGTTCTTTCAAGCCAAATGATATTTAATTAGGAAGTTGCCTTTTGTTCTGATAAAAACGCAGCTTAAAGAAATGAAAGATTTGAAACATAATGTTGTTACTCTCCTTATACCTCCTCATGTATTTGACCTTTTTCCTAACAGAACCAGAGGAACCAGCTCTCAGGATGGTTCTTCTTGGGAAAACTGGAGTTGGAAAGAGTGCAACAGGAAACACAATCTTAAGAAAAAAAGTATTTAAATCTTTGTCCTCATCTTCATCAGTGACACTGGAAAATAAGAAAAAATCAGGAGATTTTGAAGGCCAACCTCTGAAAGTGGTAGATACTCCTGGTTTCTTCAACACTCAACTAGAGCCACTAAAGGTGACGACTGAGATCACTAAATGCATTTCGCTGTCTGATCCGGGTCCTCACGTGTTCCTAGTGGTGATCGAGCCAAACAATTTTACACGACAAGATGAAGAAACAGTCAGAATTATCCGCAATCTTTTAGGAGAAGAATCAGTCCGTTATAGCATGGTGCTGTTCACTCATGGAGACGACCTGGAGGATGAAGACTGCTCCGTTGACGACCTTATTGAAAACAATGACACACTCCATGACATTATACGTCAGTGTGGAGGAGGATATCATGTCTTCAACAACAAAAACAAGGATCTATCTCAGGTCAGAGAGCTGCTGGAGAAGATCAACAGGATGGTTCACAACAATGGAGGACACCACTATACCAAAGAGATGCTGGCAGAAGCTCAGAGAATTAAAGAAAATGAACTCCGGATTGTTCTAGTCGGGAAAACTGGAGCTGGGAAGAGTGCATCAGGAAATACTATAATAGGAGAGGAAATATTTAAATCTAGTATTAGCGCCCCAGGAGTTTTAACAGAGTGTCAAAAAGAAACCCTAGAGTTTAATGGTCAAATGTTGAGTGTGGTTGATACTCCAGGTCTATTTGATACTTCTCAGAATCAAGAGCAGGTGAAAAAAGAAATCCTCAAATGCATGTCACTTGTTGCTCCTGGTCCTCATGTTTTCCTGGTGGTGATCCAGCCAAACAGATTCACAGAGGAAGAACAAAAAGCAGTGAAAAGCATTCAGGAAATTTTTGGAGAAGGATCAGAGAATTACAGTATGGTGCTGTTCACTCATGGAGACGACCTGGAGTATGAAGATGTCTCCATTGACGACCTTATTGAAAACAATGACACTCTCAATGACATCATACATCAGTTTGGAGGAGGATATCATGTCTTCAACAACAGAAACCAGGATCCATCTCAGGCACAAGAGCTGCTGGATAAAATCAAGACGATGGTTGAAAATAATGGAGGAAACTGCTACACCAAAGAGATGATGGAAGAAGGCCTGAGACTTAAAAGAGAACAACTCCGGATTGTCCTAGTGGGGAAAACTGGAGCCGGGAAGAGTGCCTCAGGAAATACCCTATTAGGAGAAAAAATATTTAAGGCTGGTATTAGCTTCTCATCAGTTACAAATGAGTGTCAAAAAGAAACACGAGTGATAAGCAATCAAATGCTGAGTGTGGTTGATACACCAGGTCTGTTTGATACTTTTCAAAGTCTACAGCAGGTGAAGGAAGAAATCGCGAAATGCATCTCATTTGCTGCTCCTGGTCCTCATGTGTTCCTGGTGGTGATCCAGCCAAACAGATTCACAGAAGAAGAACAAAAAATGGTGGAAATCATCCAGGAGATCTTTGGAAAGGACTCCAAAGATTACATTCTGGTGTTATTCACTCATGGAGATGATCTGGAGGAGGAAGATGTCTCCACTGAAACAATAATCAATGGAAACAAGGCCCTGAAGGATTTCATTGATCAGTGTGGTAAAAGATACCATGTGTTCAACAATAGAGCTAAAGGTCCAGCTCAGGTCACAGAGCTTCTCGAAAAGATCAACAATATGGTTGAGAAAAATGGAGGAGAGGAGAAATATTACACTAATGAGATGCTGAAAGCAGCAGAGGCAGCCATAAAGGAAGAAACGAAAAAACTGCAGAAGGAAAATCCAAACATGAGTCCTGATGAAGCAAGAAGAAAGGCTGAGAAAGACAACAGCTTCATCCATGGAGTTTTGGCCTCTGCTGGAATCGTTCTAGGAACAACTGCTACTGGGATTATCACTGAAGTTGCTCTTACTGCTGCTGCTGGAGCTGCATTTGGTCCTATAGGAGTTGGTGTTGGGCTTGGTGTGGGCTTGGTGGGTGCAGTTACAGTGGCCGTAGTGAAGAAGAAATTCTGTAAAGTTCAGTGAATATTTACGCTATTGAGTCACCTGAAGGTTATTTCAGGAATAAATGAAATAACCTTTCTATCATTTAATCATGTTTGTTCATAGACCTTCAGAGGAATCATCATTTTCAAGGTGTTACATGTTTAATTCATCATATCTATGTAATCAATACTGCTTACTGTACATGTGATTTCTGGGGTGGGTAGAGCTGGTGGATAGAAAACTGGTGAGATACATATAAAACAATAAAGACAATTGAAGATACAGTGATTTAACTTACCACGTATGAAATGAAACCTTAGATGTATAACTGAAATCTGTTTTGTTGTGTTGGAAGAATAAAAATTAAACAAAAAGAGAAAAATTAATGTAATCAATTACTTTGAAGGGGACGTTGGTCTTAACTTTGATAAATATGTTTGATTTAAATGATATTTGCTTAAAATAAATAGTTTGTGAGTTCTGAAATAAAATCAAATAAGGTCACAGAAAAAAAACGTTGTGATGTGTTTGATGTTTCCTCAATGCATGGCTACTGACTGCAAGAGACAATAAGCACTCTGGATGGAAGAACGGGGCACTCCAATCATGATCTGGTTCTGATAGAGGATATTCCTTCCTAAAGATTATTCTTGATCTCATTTGTGAACAAAGGGAGGACTAATGTTTCACTTACATAAACTCTTTTTACAGTGGGTAGCACTGTTGCCTTGTAATGTACGGCTTGATTAAAGCGGAACTCACCAAAAACAGTGAATTAAACAAGGGGGATCTTGTCTCAGGAAAACAGGTAATAATTGTTACAAGGTTAATTTGATAAAAAACATAAATATTCAACCCCTCAATACGAAATTAATAGGTTTTTTACCAACAATGATTTATTCAGAAAACCCGAAGTTTTAATGCTTAATAATAGTTATCCCGATACCTAAATTATTAAACCAAAACCCTCCAAAATAATCATAGGTCTGATTCTCCTTGCTTGGGTTGAGTCATCAACCAAACTTAAATAACTGAATGTCCCAATAGTCCTGTTCCTTTTCTGCGAGAATTTTGTCCATAAAAGAGTCCCATAAACTCAAAATCAAACAACGTCCTGGAAGCGTCTCTCCGTATTAATCCCAGTCTCCATCCGAAAGAAAAACCCAAAACCCCAAAAAACATGAGAAAAAAGAAGAGTGTTACCACAAAAAAAAACAAAAAAAAAAAAAAAAAAACTAAAAGAAACATAAAGTCCAGATCTCACCGGGAGCGTCCGGTTGTTTGTCCTGTCTGTCTCTATGTTGTCCTGCGACAGACTGGCGACCTGTCCAGGTTGACTCCGCCTCTTGCCCCGAACTTTAGCTGGAGATAGATAGGCGGCAGCACCTCCCAACCCCACTGGGGACAAGGGTGTTAGAAGATGGATGGATGAAAATCGTTTTATTTCATTGTACACTTCTTGTAGGAGTGATGGTGAAGAACATCCCTATCCCAAATGTGGTTTGGTCATTGAGGCATTCTAGGAAAGTAAACAATCAATCTGCTTAAATCTGCAGCAAAAGTCTGTCACTATCCTGTACAAGCAGATAAACAAACTGCAGCTACAAGAGAAAAATGTTTTATTTAGAACAAAAAAACAGAGAAAAACTGTTAAAAAGTTACAACACAGTTACCTATCAGTCACTTTAGAGATCAGCTGTGACCAATCTGATATACGATCAATAATCATCAAAGAGACGCCAGCAAAGAGCGGCTAGAAAATGCTTTCAGATGACATCATCAACCTCCATGTTTGTTTCTGCTCGCCGTCCAATCAGACAGCAGGATTTCCCTCCGAACCTTTAATGAGAATGACGTCATTTTAACCCCAAACATGTCGGATATTCCTGGTGTCAGCAGACCAGACGGTCACATGCTCACCGCTGAGGATGATGATGATGGAGGTGATGATGGTCAGCGGTGCAGCAGGTCCCACAGGCAGCAGCAGCACAGAGCCGCAGAACAGGCGGCCAGGTACGACCCGATGCCGCCCGGCTGCTGATTGGTCCGAGGATCCATCAGCAGAACTGTTGATGACATCATCAGTCTACCGTTAGTCTGTGGCCAATCAGACTACAGTCTGCAGGTGAGGAGGTTACCTGTGGGCTTCGCCGGATGGGAGCCCTGGTATTTGTTGCCATAGTAACCAGGTGGCGTCGCCGAGGCCCCCTGCGGTGCAGCGGGTCCTGATTGGACGATGGTCTGAGGGAACGTCTGGAAACGTTACCATGGAAACAGGGACATGTGACAGGAAACAGCTGATCATTCAGATCCGGATTAATTAGTTAATGTTTCACTGAAATATTATATATAAAAATGATAATTTCCTGAACTAAATGTTTAATTTTTAACTATTTTCTCTGAAGGTTGAAGATTATTATTGGATGCGTTTACAAAAATCAGAATCAAAGTTTGTTGGAAATTCAAATATGAAAGTTTTTGTCTCCATCTGCTGGTCATAATGTGAACAACAACAGATTATTTCAGTCTATTGTCTTTGTTGTAATTTTTATATTTTCATTTTGTTTCTAATGTTTTTAATCAAGTTGTAGTGGATCTTTATGTACGAGAGCAACAGATTATTTCATAATTTTCTCTGGATTAATAAAGAACCACCCATCAGGGGGCGCCATTCAGGCCAGAATGGCGCCCCCTGCTGTTCAGTTTTCTGTCATCATCCTGTTCTGCTGTTTGTAGTAAATTTAATCTGTATTAAATTTTTCTTGGATAATAAATGTCACATTAAAATTTATGAGTATTTCTGTAATGTGAAATCAGCTGATTTCCTCAGACATTAAACCTTTTTGGCTTCATGCTGACTGGGACTGAGCTGGATTATCTTTAAACTGGACTTTATAGTTTGGTTTTATGTTATTATGTTTGGATTAATTATAATAAAATAACTGGTTACTAACTGGCTTGATATAATTTATAAACTTCCTGCAGTTTATCCTGAACTCATCAGCAGCAGGTGAGTTCAGTCACAAGCTGCCGCGATGCATGCTGGGTACCTGATAGGCGGAGCCGGGGAAGGCAGTGGGCGGAGAGTAAAAAGCTGAGAGAACAACAAAAAAAAACATGTTATAAAAACTGAAGCAGAAAGATAAATGAGATTGTCTCATGAAGACAGCAGCTAAATAAAGTCAGAGGAGTGATTGGTTTATAATGAGAAATTACAATAATTACAGAAGTTGTGGCAGATCTGGAATAAGAAGTAAATTATTCACTAAAGTTTACATTTTACTAAATGATTTCTGGCTTTGTGATAAAAACAGAAGCGGACCTGGAGGAAACATGGAGGGAGACGAATCGTCAGGGAAGAACGGACGATACGGAGGAGGATGGTCACTCATCTGGATGGACGGATGGATGGATGGATGGATGGATGGATGGATGGATGGATGGATGGATGGATGGATGGATGGATGGATGGATGGATGGATGGATGGATGGATGGATGGATGGATGGATGGATGGATCTATGCAGAAAGCAGAAACATGTTTTTAGCTTCAGATGATTGATTGATTGATTTATTCATTTATTACACAGACTCAAAGTCCAAATATACAAAAAAGAAAAGAAAAACAATTAAAGAATAAAAAGTGCATTAAAAAATGGCAACTAACCCGTCAGGAGGCAATCATACCAATGTCTCCAGAGTGCAGATAAATATTTTACGGCATTATATTTTCCATTCGTCAACGATAGAATAATTCTATTATTAGACTGACATATTTTATATTAAATATTTTGCTTAAAATGTCTCTTTTTTTCAGGTTTAATACCTTAAATAAATAAATAATCATGTAAGATAAATGATTTGATGTATTTTAAATCTGAGACATTATTGCTGTCTCTGTGGACGCCTGAGACGCTCCAGGACAAAAATCTGATGCGTCTGCTGCAGATTCATGTGCAATAACCTCATTATCATCGCCATGACGACGGACTTCCCTCTATACCAGTCAGTCTGACCTCTGACCTTTCACCAGGCAGCGAGGAAACGTTTGTCCCTGCGGAGACATTTGGACGGGGCCGTGTCCCTCACAGTGCAGTCAGCTGCCTCCATACCAGCGCTCATCTAATAAACAAGTTGCCGTGGCGACCGCCACCGGACACAAACACCCGCCTGTCCCACACAGGAGCAGTTTGTTCCAGTTGGACCAGTCAGCTGCTGCTGGGAGAGCTGGACCCGCAGCACGTTACCATAGCAACAACCAGAACCGGCCCGAGACCCGACCTCACCCATCAGAACCAGCCTGATACCTAACTGAACAGGTAGCGAGCTGCTAGTTACTGCAGCAGGTACTGATGATGTCATCCAGGTGATCTGGCTGTGATTGGTGGACAGGAGCCGTCCGTCTGTCCTGCAGCCGCTCCGTCTTCACAAGAGGACAGAGACAGCAGCGCTGACGTCTCTCATGTCTCTAACAGTTTAAATGTTTCTAAAGTTTCTTGTATTTAACGTCTCCATGAAGTCTGAAGAAAACTGGACTTACCTGAAGAGGAACGGCTCTGCTGTCCTGATCAGATGCTGACCGACTGAGGAGACGGTCAGAGACACGAGGACAGGGTGAGGCCCGAGGACCACCCTCCTCCTCTGTCTCCTCCTCCTCTTGTCTTCGCTGCTTTTTCACTTTTCCTCACTTTTTTTCTCCTCTAGTGAAGAAAGTCCAGTTTGCTTATGAATCATAAATCTGTATTTTAAACTCTGTTGCTGCAGAAATAAGAAGTAAAATCAGAGCTTGTCCTCCTGACTGAAGCCTTCCTGTTGACTCCACAAAGGGAAACAACCTTCAGGTCCGTCCTGGCCTGCAGATAATATCCTGTACATCTCCACAATCTACTGGAAGCGTCATTTAGCCCAAACCTTTCCATCCCCACCAATCAGCATGAACTTTCACCTCTGTGATCCTGCTGCAAACCCAAAGACAAAACTACTAAATATGTAAACAAACATCAATGTTGAAACAGTTTGATCTCTTTCATTCTCTACTGCTGAACCATTAGAACAGAAACAGCCTTTGTGTTACTCTGAAGTCAGTCAGTCAGTCAGTCAGTCCTGGCTCTACGGCAAACGTCGCAGCATTGTCAGCTCTCTGATGTCACAGCAGATTTCAAAATGGCCGCCCTCCCATCCAGCAGTTCATTGGCTAAACTCTGCCAATGGACTGAAAAGAGGGGAAAAATGTTGTGCTGCTGATTCAGGTGTAACAGCAGCATCAGGTAAAAGGTTCGTCCAGTTTGGTTTTTCCATTTTGATTCAGCTGAAGGAGCAGAGAGACAGTGAGAAAAAAATATTTCAATAGATTGTCTTACCTGCCCTCAGGCAGGTGAAAGAACTTCACCAGTTATTCAAAGAACTGTTCGCAGTTCTCTGATAATATTGTGTGTAATCGTGGTTCTTACTGCACAGATTAAAAACAGTGGATTTTAAGTCAGATGTTGGTTATGAAGAAAGTGAAGCATTTTTCTAAGTGTTTATTATTCCAGTGAAGTGAGAGGCATCAGAGGAGGAAAGGTGTTTCTTTCTGTGGGTTCAGGAGGACATGGCATGACCTCAGACGTGTCTCTTGTCCTCCACTGTGGCAGGAAACGGTTAAAGGTGGATCAGATCCAGAACCACGTGGTTTACAGGAAACAGACCACTGCCTCTGCTGTTTCCAGGAAGCTGCCGACTCAGCCAAGCAGCACGGCATCATTTCAGCTACTTTAACTCATTTCATCATGATCATGAAAAATAGATCAGATTTTATAATAATAATAAAAATAAAACAATTTAAATGTGATTTTTTTTTCTTTTTTGTGTTTTTTTTCCCCCCATCTTCCTTCCAACTTTCTGACGCTCCCCTATCGCCTCCTAGAGGCCCTCCCGGGGGCCACGACCCCCATTTGTTAAACCCTGCCATTCAGTCCATTATTTCCTTCATAAACTGGAGTTCTTGTGTCGACCAGCAGGTGGCGCTAAAGTCTGACTCAGCCCTGAGCGATATCTGCAGACAGAACAACCTGAGTTCATACTGCAGCTGCTCACACACACACATACACACCAACACACACGCACGCAGGAACATAAACGCACACTCGTACTGGGAGTTCCCTGATAAACTCTCTGTACCTCTGATGTCATCTGTACGCTGTGCTGTGATTGGTCCTTCGCAAATACTAATATGAAGCAGCGGACCGTTAGAAGACAATCCACAGCAGCAGACAGCTGGGACGGACACAGGGACACTCAGACAGGACTCTGTCTGCAGCGTCTAACACAGTAAGTCACGTTCGGTTCAGATTATCTTCAGGATTCAGAAACTTCCTGTTTCCTCAGAAAACAGCAGAAAGACACCAGAAACACTCAGCTGGTCAGACTGCAGCAGCTGCAGCTGGCAGCTGAAGCTGTTGCTGCAGCTGAAACTGTTGCTGCAGCTGAAACTGTTGCTGCAGCTGAAGCTGTTGCTCATTGCTGGTTGCCGGTGTTGTAATGTCGAACTGATGACTGGTCTGAATGTGACCAGTCTGGTGACATGATAAGCCGAGGTCAGAGGTCACAGTGTTGAGTGGGATTGGAAACACTGAAGCAGTTTCTGTTTGTTGTGTCATGTGACCCGGTTCAGGTCTCTGCAGAACCAGAACAGACTGCATCTAAATTTATCCTCAGTGAAATAAAACCTAAGTTTCACTTTGTGTCAGAGCTGGTTCCCTTCAGCCTGTCGACCCGGCAGAACTCTGACCTGGCAACTTCCTAGAAAGCAGCCGAACAGGACCAGCTTTCCTGTAAACCACTCTGGTTCTGATCCAGCCTGTCGGTTCTGATCTCGTCTGTTGCTCCAGCTTTAACGTTTGGAGTCTCTTTAGCCGTTTCCATTTATCATACAATACTTTTTAACCGGGGGGAGGATTTTTTCGGCGTTTGTTTTTGACCTTTAGCTGAGTAGAATGGTGCTGCTGCGTTCTCCACCTCTGAATGTTGAACATTCCTGGTTCTTCTGTTTATCTCCTGCGTTTCCTCCTTTCCTCCTTCAGCATGGAAATAAACACTCTAAAAATGTTCAGTCCATTCAGTTCAATAAACTCTCTAAAAGTGTTTATTTCCTATCAGCAAACCTCTGACAGGAAGACATTTGTTAAGCTGACCTTGAGCAATAAGTGGAGGTGTCAGAGAGATCCTGGAGGGAAAATTTTTCTCTAAACCTTTGGATCAGATGTTGTTCAAGAACTTTTACTGAACTTTTACTGGGCCCAAAGTGGCCCAAAAGAATCTCAGTTTAGTCAAGTTAGATGAAAGATCAACAACTGAGCCAACAGCTGTATTTTCCAAATAATTCACTGAAGACAGAAAAATATTTGCTTGAATCAAATATAAGTTTGTACTTATAAACATGCTGAAAGCATAGGTCGCTGCTGCCACCTGCTGTTTTGGAAGAGAACTGCATGTTTTGGATCTGTGCTCTGCCGGGGCGTTCCCTCTCTGGGTTGATGTTGCTTACATTAAACTTTCAACTTACTGACTGAAGGTAACACTACAGTGTGAAGATTAAAATAAAGCTTGGTGTGATCATCAGAGGTGACTTCTCTCTCCCAGACCTTCTGAAGTGACGAGATTTACTCTGCAAACAAGATGAACACAAAGTTAATCCTTTTAAAACCTTCAAAACTGCTGTTCAAAGCATGAGGCAGTTTCTTCATGACTTCCACTAGAATACTTCGCAAAAAAATCAAAAAGTACAATTTGTCATAGGGACTGAAGGCAGAGATCATTAAGGGAAATCTTAAGTGGATGTCTACAGTTTCTATTTACTTATCGTCTTGTTATTTTTCTCTCTCAATCTAAAGGATTTTGCATATTTTTGGAACTACACAAATGCAGGTTTGAATGGTGGGTGCATGAGTAAATGTAAGTGTGTATAAGTACATGTGTACAATGGTACGTTTGTTGTTTTGTAAGTTTGTCCTAAAAGAGAAAATTCAATTAGATACATTGTTGAAAAAGAAAAAAGTACAATTTGCTCATAAATTGGTGTTTTCTCTCTTTTATCTGCTTTGCTGACTTGTTACTGGTTTTCTGCTGACAAATGTTTCCATTTTGTGTCAATAAAATAAACACAAGGAAAAGTCTTGAGGATTAGTTTACTCACTAAACTCTTGGAACTTTGGCCAAATCTATTGTCAGAGTATGAACATGAAGCAACAGGTTAACACCAAATCATCTGCACTAAAGGAACAGTGGAAATATTTCACTTTGAAATTGAAATTTAATGGAAAAACAAAACTTGGAGAAACCAACAGCTAACATTTTTAGTTGGCGATAAAATTATAACATCAAGCAAAAATCATTCCTAACACCTGGTTGTCATACTGCTATATGAGAACCATGCTTCATGTATACAATAGTTTATAGTCTCTATGTTGAACACCTATTGACTTGGGCAGTAATGTCTTTGTGATTTCATTCAAAGGTAAAAAGCATTCAAAGGAGCAGAATGTTCTTCTGGATCCAAGTAACTGGTGTAGATCTGAGGAGGTGCTGCTCAGCTCTTACAGCTTTTGTCACAAGCTTGCTTATCAGGAAGTGAAAGTCCTGACCACACCCAGACTTCAACACAAGCAGAACAGTTTGTGCTACCAATGGAAATTAATCATTAGGTCTGCAAACAAAAGGTCACAATAAATTTGCCATTACTTTGTCAATGGGTGCAATACAACCGGAGATCGGACTTGCCCAGGTAGGGTGGCATCAGTTGGGCACTGAGATCCTGCCGAGGCCCCAGCTGAGCTGTTGGTGTTGGAGATTTCCTCACGAGCTGTACGGCTGCATCGTTGTTGGCGTTGGAGTTTCTGGCTGATGTTTGTGCTGATGGACCAAACAGCAGTCCAGATTCCAGAACCTCTGTGGCAAACACAGCATGTCCCTGAGAGACGATGTGAACTGTAGTCATTGAAGGTCCTTCAATCGGAATAATAAAGTGCTGAAGTTTCTCAAGAGGAACCCTTGAATTTATTGTTTCCTGTAGCTGAATGATTCTTTGTCCTTGCAGAGATGAGAAATGGTAATTACCATTACAGTAACCAACGAGACCCCTTACATCTGGTACCACTCTTATGAAAAAGACAAGGTAAGAGTCCAAACCGAGATCTTAACCAGCAGATGAACCTTCCCTGACCGTTTCTTCTCCTCGTCTCCACAGAGTGGGACAAAACTGAACCCACATGGTTCAGCAACAGGAAGATGGCCTTTAGGATTTTCTTTGTTGAAATATCCATTTCGATTGTTTGATGCTGTTCTGGACAGAGGTGTCTACCTTAGCTATGGAAACCACTCCAATTGGGACCTCCACTCTGACAATCGCATCGATGATTTCACTGTAAGAGAGAGCGATAATCGGGAACACTTTGAGCTGGTCAACAGTTCTGATGAAGTGGTTGACCGCTGTCCCAACTATGGTAAGACTTGCAGAAACACTCAGACACGAACCTGATTCTACTGAGCGATACAGGGAAATTCCAGGTAGTTCAGATTATGGACCAATACTGAGCAGTTAATGCTGAATGATTTTTACACTCCTAGATGAACTCAGCTGCAATTGTTTGACTTTATATGTGAAATGATTTGGTAACTGAAGGGTGAGGAGTCAACTCAGCTGGAAACCAAGAGAACACTAATCACTGCTGAATGTTGGATTGAGAACATGAACATCTTTCTAGATGTTGTGTTTAGATCATTGGTCATTCTTATACATGTCTTTTAATCCATCCATCCATGACCTTTGTCCACCATGGTTGCCTCTACTTCTTTAGTGGATTGTTTTGGTTGCTAAATAAAAATTTAGCTCCCCAAATAATTATTTAATTTGTAGTTCTGATGAGAATAAATAAACAAATAACATAAAATTAATAACATGAAAAGGGATTCGTTTTCATAACTTTGAAAACGAATCCCTGGTTTCTAATTAGGCCACATAATCCCAAGTTACTGCTGTTAATTATTGACTGCGTAGATTTTCAGAACGGCACCCCATATTTTTTGACATCAACCTTTTTGTTAAAGATTTTATTAATCTACTTTAATGGTAGAAAATAAACTGAATTTTTAAGGCTAAGAGAATAAAACATATAAGTAGACCCTCCGCCTGAGACCTTTAGTAGCATTACTGACTTTTTTTGTGCCAAAATTTAGTTAAAATAAAGTTAACTTTTTAATACTGTCTTAAGAAATACTAACCCAGAACATGCTCATTTGTCTTTGATTAAACTAAAGAGGGTGATAAAATTCACAAGAACATTCCTGAATTTTCTTTCAGCAAGAATCGAAGAAGAGAAACGAGAAAGAGAAGAACGCAAAAGACGGCAACAAGAAGAGAAACGTCAGAGGGAAGAAGAGGAGCAGAGGCGCCAGGCAGAGCTGGAACGAAAAAAACAGATCCAGGAGGAGACAAAGAGGAGACAAGAACAGGAACGCAGAGAACGGGAACGCAGAGAACGGGAACGCAGAGAACGGGAACGCAGAGAACGAGAACGCAGAGAACATGTACGACAAGAACAAGAACAGGCACGACTGAAACTTGAAAGGCAAGAACGTGAACTACGAGAATGGGAACAATGGAAGAAACGACAAAATGAACTGCAGAGAAAAAGGCAAGAAGAGGAGAAAAGACGCCTGGCAGAGCTGGAGCAAGCCAGGAGAATTCAAGAGCAGATTGACTGGGAGAACAAAGCCTCCAAGAGAAAGATCAGAAAAGCTCAGGAAAGACTTCAAGAGCAGGAACAAGCCAAAGCTCGAGAACACCAGCAGCAAAAGACTGAAGTACTGTACCAGTTGCTTGACGATCATACAGCTCACATAGGGAGGGATGAGGTAAGGTTTGAGATCTTCTGGGTTTATCACATTAAATATGAAAAAGCAAGTTAGACTCTGACCATATGAATGTTTAGACTTGATGGTAATGTTCTGGATTTATCTTTTATGCAGTTCAGTGATGTGCAGAAACGATTTGAAGAACTTCTGTCAAGCTACCAAATCAAAGAGAAAGAGAAGTCAAAGATGAACCTTGAAGACAGAATGAAGTCTCTCCAAAATGTACTGATGTTAAATTACCTGGAACAGCACAACATCCCCATCTGGTCACAGTGGGCTTTGGATCAGGCCACTGGATATGTGAATCTGTCCCTGACTGAGCGCTTCAATGTTCTGGAGGCTGTTGTCAAAGTTACTCTGGAGGGTGAGCCTGATTTTCAGTCTGAGTACAGAACTGGACAAGACCAAAAAAACAAATTCTTTCTCAGTTTGGAAGATCAGCTGCAGATTTCTAATCCAACTCTAGCCAGACGGGTTTTAGTAAATATTCTTGAAATTACTTCAAAGTTACCAAAACAAGGCAAGGAGATCCTCAGTCAAATACTTTTCAACAACATCTGGATTCCAAAAGAAATCAAGCTGTTCATTGGACGGACGTTGGGCATGGATCAGGAAAAAGCCTCAAACATCCTTCACTGGGTATGCACCTATAGAGTAAACTGCATACTGGCTGTCTCTGCACTGAATCACAAAGATCCCATAGGATATATTCAAGACTATATATTATGTGAGGAGGACAAAGATCATGAGACTATCCTGAGTGAAATGCAAGAAAATAACTATCCAGAAGATCTCCTGTCACAACTGGAAGACGCTCTTCAATACGTTGAGGCCGTGTTGCCCAGATGTAAAGGAGTGGACCTTGAATCAGACTTGATTGAAGACTGTAAAGAGTGGATAGTTTCAATAGATTTTTCCAAGCCTGACACTGACATGTTAAAGAACATCCTCATTGTCATGTCCATAGCCGTGAAGTCATGCACAGCCTTCATCACCTCCAGTGGAAAGAGCGTTCAGGGATACTTTCCCAGACTGACTCAGCTTGCATCATTACTGCTGCTACTGCTACAGCAGTCCCAGGACAATCAAGGATGCCTCTTGGAAATCGGAACTGGTGAGGGTAAGACCTGCATCTTAGCCATGTTTGCCACCATACAGGCGATACGAGGTACTGCAGTGGATGTTGTGACCAGCTCCCCTTTGCTTGCCATTCGTGATCAAGAGGAGTGGAAAAAACTCTATGCAATTTTTGGTGTGACCTCATCAACTGTTCCTCCACAACACCAAACTAAAAGTTCATTTGAAGACCATGACAAGCTCCTTGAAGAAGCTTATTCTATGCAAGTAGTGTATGGCACTGTTTGTACTTTTGCTGCAGACATACTGAGGCAGGAGTTTGAGAAGAAAACAACTCGAGGACAGAGAAAGTTTGATTGTGTGATTGTGGATGAAGTGGATTACATGACATTGGACAGTGGAGTTCAAGTGACCTTCTTGTCACATCAAGCCAGTGGGCTAAGACACCTGGAACAAGTCCTGGCAAGCATCTGGGCCTTGATGTCTACCTGCCGACCAATAGAAATATTTGAAACAGGTGAGATCCAATGGGGAACTAGGATCCAGTACTGTCACAAGGTTGCCAAGCAAGCTGTGGTTGGCTCAGAATCAAACTTTTCAGAAGATGACATACTGTTGCTGGGTGTGAAGCTGGGCCTTTATTCTCAGGAGGATCTCAATAAGGTAATTGAAGCAATGAGTCAAACTCAGACAGAGAAAGACAGCTTTGAAGATCCCACATTGCAAGTCATTGGAAGCATCATGGCCAAGTTGGGACATCAGCAGCAGCATGAGCTGTTCAGGGAACTTGAGACAGCAGTACTTGATGGCGTGGTGGTGGACTGTTACTCACTAGTAAACAACAAAGCCAAGCGCTTTGGTAAAGAGGATTCTTCCGCGGACCCTGATGTCAGGATTCTTCTTCTGCAGAACGGATGTGCCTGTGAAATCATGTCTGAGAAATCACTCATTGAATCAACTCTTGAAAAACTGAAATCCAAAATCAGATTTTCTGATGAGTGCTCGTTGAAGTCAGTGGAGAAAACTCAGGGATATATTGTGATTCCATCTTTATTGAAAGAGTATTTTGAGAACCAGTTGCCCGTTTTTGCAGAGAATGCCTTGAGAGCCATTCAGATGGTGCTAGACAGAGAATACATGATTGAAAAGACACCAGAGGTTGACAGGTCTGGTTTCTGTAGTGGGGACTCTCATCACTACGATGCCATAATTCCTGTAGACTTCCAGGCCAGTGGGGTACTAGAGAAAAACAAGCGCTGGGGTGAGGGCCTGCAACAATTTTTGGAGATGAAACACCAACTGGCAATTTCACAATTATCTAATGTCACAAACTACATGTCAAATGTCCACTTCTTTAAAAAGTACAAAGGGATTTTTGGAGTCTCTGGGACATTAGGGGGCGAAGCAGAGAAAGCATTTCTAAAACGGCAGTACAAAACAGCCAGTTATATCATTCCTGCGCACCGTCATAAAAAGCTTGTAGAACTGCCAGCAGTTCAGGTTTCTGGAGGAAAAACTGAGTGGATCCAGGTCATCTGCGAGACCACATGGAGAGTTGCAGACAGGGGGCAGGTTGTTTTAATAATCTGTGAAGATGTCAAGACTGCCAAGGAGCTGAAGGGTAAAGTACAGGTTCAAAAAAGACACTCTGCTAAGATCACCATGTACACGATTAGCGAAAAGCACAACATTGAAAAGGAGACTTTCAGAAAGGGACACATCATCATAGCTACAAACCTTGGAGGCAGAGGAACAGACATACATGTTCACCAAGAAGTCAATGAGTGTGGGGGTCTCTTTGTACTTCTCACATACTTCCCTGGAAGTTACCGTGTAGAGAGACAGGTGTTTGGACGCACCGCCCGCAAAGGAAACCCAGGAATGGCACAGATGATACTGAACCAGGATCTTCTGGCACCAGCATACCAAGGCCACTCAGTGGAAACCATGAGACAACTCAGAGAGGACTATGAAGTCAGACGTTTGGGTGGTATGGAGAAAAATGAGCTGCTTCAAATTGAAATGAAGGAAAGTCTGTTCTCCAGATTTTGTGAGTTTCTCTGTGGCTTTGACAAGCGTTACACAGAAGAGGAAAGGATGGATATCAAAAAGCTGAAGTCAAAAGATCTTCCTGAGTGTTTTAGGAGCCATCGTCAAAAGTTTGATTATGAGACTGCGATAAATGCTTTGAAAGAGTCATGGGCCTTGTGGCTCATCCTCCATGAAGAGCACTTCAGCAAGCATGATGATATCCAACTCCTGACAGAAAACCTTATGGAGGGGTTGAAGAAGACTGCCAATCAAATCTTAAAGGGGAGGAGCAACAATTTCTATGACTACATAAAACTGGCAAAAAGCAGAACTGACATACACCGCAGCAACAAAAAGGAAAGCGACTTTGGAGCATTGCTGTACTGGCAGAGTGCTGTGCAGTGTGATCCTTTCTACAGTGCTGTGGCACTTTATAACCAGGCATACATCACAGTCAACCTGCAAAGGAGCGGCTACAAAGAGGAAGCAAAGCAGTTATTGGAAAAAGCAAAGACTGCAGTGGATGTGTACCTGTCAGAATCAACAAACACTATGATGTTTTGTAATTTGACTGTGAGTAATGACTTTTTACCCCACCACAAAGACAGCAACCTTCAGAACCAAATGAAAGCGAGAATGAGTGTCTTCAAAAGTTGGAAAGGATACATTGACAATGCCCTGAAAGCCCTCCAGCACATCGAGAAAAGCAAAGGAGAGGCTATCTTAGAAGACTCCAGTGTTTACAGTCTTTCCAAAAACAAAGACCCAATCACCAGGAATGAACTAATGGTACTTCATGAGTTTGGTCTCTGCATCGTGTTTGAGGTTAAAAAGAAGCCAGAGTTTTCCATGGATGCCTTTGCTTGTTTTTGCCTTGGAGTTGTCCAAGTGGCAGCAGGTGTTCTTGTTTGTGCTCTGTCCTATGGAAGCGCCAGCCAGTTTGGGCTTGGACTCATCAGTGAAGGGGTTTCGGACATGATTCACGGTATAAAGGGAATGATACAAGGAAGCTTTGACTGGGCGGAGTGGGCAATCTCCAAAGCCATCAGCATTGGGGTGTCTCTGTTCTTTGGTGGACTGAGCAAACTCAAGGGAGCTGTAAGGTCTGTACAAAGTGGTGCCAAAGGTCTGGTTGCTGGGGCTAAATGTAGCTCTGTCTTCACAGTAAAAGAGTGCTGTAAACATGCAGGGAAATTTGCTGTTCAAGAATTGGCAAAGCAGGGATGTGTCGCTGCACTGAGCTACACTGTCAGCAGTGCACTTCCAGCTTTGTTTAAAAGGATTCTGAATGAGGCCTTCAGGAAGAAAGTCTTTACAATGATAAAAGCTAATAGTCGCTTGGATTCTGCTCTCACAAACTTCATTTGTTCAGTAGTACCAAAGACGGCTATGGAGCAGAACTTCACCAACTTCACAATTGACAGGAATTGTGAGAATGAAATCCGTCGATCAGTGGACGTGATGACGCGAGACATAATCCCTGACCTGATGATGGATTGCACCCAGGTTGGTAAAGTTCTTGATACCCTGTCAGAGGTCTGTGGTTCTGTGGCACGACACATGGACAAACAGAAAGAGATGAAAGTCCTGATTAAGCTTTTGGAGTCAGCTCAGTATATCAAACATTGTGTACAAATCTTGAATTCATTTCCCACAGAAGATGTAATTCATAAAACTTTTGTACCTGAGTTGTTGAAAAGCCTGGATCAGCTGCCACAGGAAAAGTATGATAAGGATGGAAGACACTCACTAGCTGATGTGAAGAGGCTTAAAAAAGACCTACTCGACATTATAGCTACAAGTGTTTCAGAGTCATTTGTTGAAGCTTGTTCAAGACACATGACCTCCATCATCACCAGAACCTGCATGACTCAAATTAACAGCACTGCTAGTAGTGCTGTTGGGAACCTACTGGGCAGGGCTAATACTCAAGGTTTCTTTGACAACCAGCTGCATAAACACCAAATGAAGGAGGCCATCCGCAGACCATGTGAATCTCTATCAGAGGAGGGCAAAAAGGACCTTCATTGTTACATAGAGGAGGTTTGTGATGTTGATCGTCCTGCTTCAGCTTTGGACATCCATGTCCTCACTCAAAGTGACGCTCTCCAGGGCAAAGGCATCAGAGTTATAGTTGTGGACAAAGATAAGAAGAAGCTTTCTGAGGATTACTTTCCAGGAAAGGACAGTTCTGCAGGTGATATTGTCCTCCAACTGAGCAAAGACCCAGAAACACAAAAACAGTGAGTAACGATTGAATCTCATATTGATGACATTGATGTGTTTTATTGTGTTAGAGTTAAGAAGTATTTATCAATTCATTTTGATATAGCCTTATTCACAGGAAATGCACATTATAAACAAAACCCATTTAGTTTATATGCAAAAATAATCCATTAAATCCAATAATTTCAAGTGAAAAACATCCAATTCAATTAACTGCACTAACTGCACTAAGCAAGATAGTCAGTTACATTTCTATTCGAATTGGTAAAATTATCTTATTTTTAAGATAGACAAGCTGACTGCTTTGAGTCACTTCCTATACAGCAATCTTTGGTTTAATGTATCAGAATATTTTTATGAAATTGCCTACTACGTCTTAAATTAGGTCTTAAAAACCTCAGAATACCTTGAGGTCCTTCTGGTTTGCTCTGATATTCGGTGCTCCATATGTATAAAAGTGTTTTGGTATTTCTGTTTATAATTTTCAGGACGTTTGCAGAACGGCTTACTGGTGAAACGAGGCCCTACAGCGGACATTTCGACATTGTGAAGCAAGATGGCGCTGTGATTCCAGTGAACTCTTCAGATATGAACTGCTTCTATCATGCTGTGGTACAAGCCACCAGCTGCAGTACCGTTGACCACCAACAGAGGGCAGTGCAGCTTCGAAATGAAGTGAAGAATATGGTGAGTATGACAACATTCAAAACATTCACAAAACATAAAGTGTGCTGATGATGAAACTAAAGTATTTTTTATGTAGGAATCATTTAAAAGTTTTGAGAAATACCAAACATAAAGATTGCCAGTCACTCTGGCAGAAACTCCTCTCACCTCAATCTATTTCATAAAGATCCCTGCTGTACCATTGCTACATCTCCAGATAACAAATCATATTTAATACATTGTGTCCTCTCCTGAGACAATTTGTGAATCAAACAGCTTGTTTTTAAATAGTAGCGTTCCTAAGCATTGACCACCAGAATTTTGTACTGAATGAAGTTGTTCTGATAAATCTAATCTAAATCGAACATATACTTACAGCGCTGCTTCTGTAAGTTTAAACTTAAAATGACTCTGAACTGTAAGAGTTAACCACAGAAAACTGGGTGAAATTAGTGGTCTATGAAAAAGAGAACATGAAGTTATTGGCAGCTCAACTGTGGCAGCCAATCAGAGACTCGGTTCAAAGAATTCAAAGTCAACAACTTCTGTTTTATCAGGACTTAAAAACAGAAAGATGGAGTCATCCAGATGTTTATGTTTTCAGACAAAAACTAATTAATAAACTAATGGACTGAATTAATCAGGATTTATGAATAGATAGAACTGAGTATCATCAGCATCACAGTGGAGGTTTGTCCCCTGATGTCTGATGGTTTCACCAATATTTGGCGATTGGTGATGAAATGAGAGGAATAAAACAAAGTAGTGATAAATGTTGTTGGTGGATCTCAGCAACGCGACCAAGCTGCTAAGTTTATATTTATATCTCTATTGCAATTTAAAATCTCTGCTTAATTTTGCACCCTGTTGTCAGTAATAAACAAACTGAATGTAGCTTTGATGTAAGGAAAAGTAGACATGGTGAAATGTTTGTGACGTGTCATGGTTCAGCTGCTTCGGGACACAGAAAGATACGCACCAGCCATGAACCTGCAGAGAGGATATGAAGAAACCCACAAACACCTGGATAAATACGTCATCAGTGGAGGAGGCAGGAAGACGCAGCAGGTCAGCAGAAAAACCTTTCGGGAGAAACTAAACACTACAGACACGCAGGATTTACCGGAGCATGAGGCCAACCTGATAAAAACGTACGACCTGGGTCTGGTTGGAAGGTTTGATGAGTGAGTTCATTTGGTCCAAAGATTTAAAATCTCAGCCGTCACTCTGCAACACGAAGTCATCTCTGCTTGATGTTTGGTTTGTGAAGCATCAAGGGCCTGCGGAAGACAAACAGACCCAATGCTGATAACAACAACCGAAGCTCTACTGTGAATGCAGACCACATCCCACCTATCAACACCTTCCAGAGAGCTCATGAGATGCTGCAAAAACCCGAGAATGAAGCCCAGAGGGACTGGCTGAAAACAAACAACCCTAAGCTTTATGCCATGTTTGATAAAACCGGAAAGCGTGGGCTCTGCAGAGAGGTTCTCACCGAACATCACAAGCAGGCGCTGACCACCGGAAACAGCAAGGGGTCTCACAAAGTCAGGTGAGAATGCATCACTTCATGGCTGATTGCAGCCCTTTGCTGATGTCACTTGCTCTGTTTGCTGCAGGGAAAAGATCGCTGAAGCTCTGGTTTCTGGTGATGTTCATAAAGCGATGAAGATGTCCTTAATAGCTGCCAATCCAGAGATGTCGGAGTCTCTCCGGAGAGATGCAGGTGCATAACAGAGACTGATTCAGCTGCTGCAGAATAACAGGCTGCTTCAACCAGGTGGCTAATGTTTGCTCTCTGTGCAGGAATTTATCGGCAAAATAAAAGACCTGATGTCATGTCCCCCAAAGCCACCAGGACATATCACGAGATTGGAGACAAACTGCTGGTGGATAAATACTATGAGATGGGCGTCATCGATCAGAGGTCTAAGGATGATCTTCATCAATGGACAAAGTCCCAGCTTTACTCCAAAAATTCAGCAGAATATCATGAACTGCTGCACTGGCTGAAGCAGCCACGCCTTTAGATGTAAGTTTATCTAAATATTAACACTTTTCATTCTGATTGCTATTAATGAACCATTTTCTGTTGCTCCACTCACCCAGATGAGACTGGAAACGGGAATCTGGTTGAACTGGGAATGATTCCATGCAACCAAAGCTCAACAGACAGAGGAACGTCTGAAGCAAAGGACAGCATGAAAACATGTATCAAAAGTTTGCTTCGGAAATAACTTTATATTTAAATCACAAGAGGAACATTTATATTTAAATATGAATGATGACGCTGCTGCTGGATCAACCTGCAGACCGCTCAGTTCTGGAACCTGATTCTGGTTCCAGAACCAAACATGGAGAAGCAGCATTCAGCTTCTATGCTCCGCAGATCTGGAACAAACCTTGTTAGCTTGCAGTCGTAGCGTTTTCTATTAATAGCAAAACATTGCATCCCTTTTTCAGATTATTTCCATAATTGGAAATGCCAAAAAAAAACATGTTTAACATTGTTGAGAATATAAGTTTGGTTAGCATAACTTTAGAGACAGTCAACCTTTATGCATATGCAATATTAGATGTAGCATGAACATTTTGAGTAGATTCTGTTAGGTAAACTTAGATAAAGATCCAAACTAAAACAACTGCTGATTCTGAACTCACATAAATTACTAAGGAGGGCCTTCAGACAGGCGAGTGTTGTACTCCCTTTGGCACAGGGAGTCTGTTATCAGGATGAGTAAAATTCTGATAACAGACTCCCTGATAACAGATATGTCCTTTAAGCATTAACAGCATGTTCTGAATTAGTTAGTCTCTAACCATACTATTTGCATGCATTTTATATTACTGAAATACAATAGGAAACTATTTTGCTTCTAAAATATTTCAGGTATCCTAAAAGAGCTTTTCTAAAAGTAGACAACCCTGCAGTTTTTAGATCTAAACTCATAGTTATTATTTGGCCTTAGATTTTTGTGCCAGTTTGTTTAAAATAGAAATCAGTTTCTTGTTGAATCACTGAGGCAGAAAACCACCAGGCCTAGTTGCAGGTTATAAATTCTGGTCTGGAATGTTTAAGGGAGGAGACAGGTACGGGAAGACTCTGGTGGAGAATGACTTTTGTTCTCTCCATATATTTGCCTTTGGATTTTAACAAACAAGGTAATGAAATTAACATTAAACAGCCATACAAGGGGGGGGACACACCTTCTAATGCATATATTTAAATTAAGGGAATACACATCCTTATAAAAAGTTTTGTTTTACAGCAGAAGGTCGAATTGCTTTGTGCCCGAGGGAGCAATTCCCAAAAATGCATCTTTGTCTTTCCTTTTCAACTCGTTGCAGGTAATTCTATGTTTTGTCATGTGTTGGACTCCTTGATGATCTGGGTGTAATGCTAATGTAACATTCTGTATGCATTGAATTCTCTGGATAAAGCTCTAGATATATCTGAAGTCTGATGTCGAATGGTTGTTTCTTTATTATTTTCCCTGCACATGCAGAGTCCCTGGATCTGGGAAACTAGAGGAAAAATAGCGAGCAAAGTGAAGTTATTCCTCTAAGTTTTAACAACATCCAAAGGAATAAATATATTATATTTCCGACTGAAGAAAATATTGAAGTCACACCAAAAAGATTTGCTGAAAGAGCATTCCCAAAAAAGATGGTTTAATGTTTCTTGTTCAATGTGACTAAAGGAACAACGAGGATCAATATTTGGAATATATTCATTCAGTGCTGAATTTACAGTGTAAAATTTTAAGAGACACCTCTCGTACTTTGAGACAAAAAACTTTCTTGGCAAAAACCATGCTTGCTCCCAATCAACATCTGAATAAAGATTGTTTTAAAAGAATCACACAGAGCCGGACCTGCAAAGAATCTTTTGCAGGTCCGATTGGATCTGTCATTGGGGCTGGTGTGGGATTAGCAGTGGGAGCCATAGCTGCTGCTGTGAAAAAGGATGCCTGTGTCATACAGTAAATATGGTTCAATTATAATTAGAGCCATCTTATCATAAACACATCACGCTTTTTACTGCATGCATCATTTCACTAAGCATCTATATTTAATTTTAGAGAAGTGTCACTAATGACTGATGATGTCATCACTGATGATCTCACTGAATGTGGGGATGATGTCATTGCAACTCAAAGCACCAGTGTGAAACTTTAATGAAAATGATTTTTGCATGTTTGTTCAACCTATCACCATGTCATGACATTAGAAGGTGATGCAGATAATCTGTGAAAAGATCGAGCTGTTGCAGTCTGAAGAAAACCATCACTCACAACCACAACAACCAATTAGAGCCAGGAGGAGGGGCTTTGTGCTGTCCAGCATGTTCATGCACTCACTGCTAAATGTGGTAGGAAATACAGCCTTATGATACAGGAAAACAGTTTATCTGCCATTATTGGTAGCTATGCTAGCCAGCCTCAGGCTTTAGGGCTATGATGAAGCAGAGAGAAAAGAGTAGGGTGTGAGCAGCACATACATGACGGTGATGGACAGCGATAAGACCCGCGCCATGGCTCTGATTGGTTGTTTCTAATGTGTATTTCTGACAGCCTGAGAAACAAAGCGGATGGTTCAGTTTGTTCAGATTGTCTCATACTTTCACATCATTTCCACTCTTTCAACAAACATATAAAAAAACATCTGTGATATAAGTTAGATACTGCTGGTTTAATGGAGGTAATTGATTTATGACCAATATAATTATATTTTTCATTTTTATGTCTTATTTTTATGTTTTATCAACCAAAACTTCCCACTTATAAAATAAGCTGAACTCTGTGCATCATTAATTAAACATGATCGATGTTCATATCTTCATATTCAGTCAACCAGAACAATGAGAGCCATCTGTCTACATTAAACATTTTTAATTATTTGATGTAATATTCTAATTATAAATGTTATGTTTTTATTGAAGATCATCACAATTCACAGGAATAGAGGCATTAATGCAAACATTGTGTTTCACTCAGTGATGAAGTTACCAGACTAAATGAATACATTAACTTTCAAATAATATTCTAGCTTACTAAATATGGCTGAATCTGGAATGCTTGTAATGACTAAATGAACTGATTTCATGTTTCTGTGTAAACTGGATGTTTGTGCATTGAATACATTTACTTAGAACAGTCTATGTACAACAAACTGTGTGAAAACTGTTAATTAAAGCTTTTTTCATGCTTTTGTAGGAGGAGTCATGTTAGAGGACATGTTGTGAAACGCTGGCATCAAACCGTTTGTGTGCTTTTTCCTGCAGCTCCTGTTTGTGACGCTAATAAAGCAGATCTCCCTGAAAGCCAGCGTTGCTTCTTCTTTGAAGCTGTGTGTGTTTCTGACTGATGATGAGTGACTGTCCAGAGAGGATCTGATGAACTCTGCTGTTTTCAGGCTCAGACCTCAGACTGGTGCTGGTGGGTCAGGAGCAAGTGGGGAAGAGCTCAGCAGGAAACACCATCCTGGGAAAGAAGAAGCTGGACAGTCGGTTCAGCTCCGTCCCTGTGACTCTGAGATCCCAGAAGGTCGAAGGTGATTTTGAAGGTGGCAGACTGGTGGTGATGGACACCCCTGGCCTCTTCAGCACCCAGCTGTCTGCAGAGCAGGTGAAGGAAGAGCTGCTAAAAGCTGTGGAGCTGAGCTCTCCAGGTCCACACGTCTTCCTCCTCACCCTCCAGGTGGGCAGGTTCACCCCCCAGGAGCAGAAGGGGATGGAAACACTGCAGAAGATCCTGAGTCCCGATGTCTCCAAACACACCATGCTGCTGTTCACCTACGGAGACCGTCTGGAAGATACCGACATCCAGCAGTTCATCAGGGAGGATGCCAACCTGCTGAAACTGCTGAAGAGCTGTGGCAACCATTACCACGTGTTCAACAACAAGAATATGGAGGACAGGAGCCAAGTCCAGCAGCTGCTGGATAAAATCCAGACAATCTCCCAGGATGGGAGCCTGATCTACCAGAGAGAAGCCAAGTCAGAGGAGTTCATTGTAACTAGGTTATGGAAGAAGATCATTGGACACTGATGGGTGTTTGCCTCAGTGTCTCTTTAAGAGGAAGAAAAAGGGTTGACAACATCTGTACAAACAGTAGAAGGAGGTTCTAAATGTTTCAATAAAGGCTGTGATGATAAAGTGACTGGAAGTTATTGATCTGCTACTAATGAGCTGATCTTGATGTTTCCCTGGTCTGTCGTCGAACATGTCAGAAAGCCTGTGCAAAAGGGGTTATGATACTGCTATGTGTCTTTTAAGGCTTATACGTTTAAAATAACTCTAGATGAAGTCCAGCACTGGCATTTTCCAAACAGCAAGACATTAATAAACACAACTCCAAAATAATGACTTATACTTACAGTACATACTTTAACAAAGTCAGTAAGCTATCTTTCAACTAAACCATTGAGAAAAAGATGGAAGAATAAATGTCTAAAAGTAAAACATTATATAAGAATAGAACCAATATGACAATTAAAGATGTACCAGTTTTGTGTGAACTGAATACTCAGATATATTTTAGAGGAAATGAAATGAAGGCAAAGAAGACCAGAAAACTGTGATGCAAACTAAAGAGTAAAGCGTGAAATAACCAACAGAATGATATAATATCACAGTCCGGTATGAGGATGTCTCCATTTGGAACATCTTTAAGCATCAATGCTAACACACTGCAGGGTAGCTGGTGCTACCGTCCAGTAGCTAGCTATAATAAGAGCTAATTCATCTCTGCCCAGACACTGTTAAATGAGTTAATTAACCCTTACCTGAGTCATGTTGGAGAATCTAATCTACTAAGAAACAGCTGCATGGCTACCACCAGTTCTTCCCTAAAGAACAACAGTCAGTCTCTTGGGAGTCTTTCCTTCGTCGACCTCTTGACTTCAGCATTCCCATCCTGGAGTTCTGCTCCAACAGGGATGACCTCACATGTTTCAGGTCCACGTCAATTATCACAACTTCTGGTGGATGTCTGGAAGTTTGGGGATTGGTGACTGAGTTTGCTCACTCTAGCTGCTGCCCTATTGATGCAGATTCATGCATCTCCTGATCCTGGATCCGTTGACGTTCTAACGCTGGAGCTTCAAGATTAATTGGTGGCTCTGGAAATGTTTCATTTGTCTCACCCAGTTCAGTGTTGCTGTTTGGTTTCTGTTTGTCTACATCTCATGGCTCTCAGATTACCATTATATGTTCTTGTTCACTTCATCATCATTTCTGGTTCCAACATTATTCACCATTTCCATGGTGTCATATATTTTTCATATTTCTCATCCTGAATGTCTGAGCTGCACGGTTCAGTCTGCAGTTGCAAGGAGAAAGGCAGGGAACTTGTGGCTTCAGGACTTTTGTCTATAGCTCAAAGGAACAAAGTTAAAGCTCAACTCAAACTTTTTTTTGAGACTCAGTTCTCACTGCATCACACAGGAAAAGCCAATGAGCTTTAGAGACTTATGAGTCAAGTCAACAATCACTATTGTTGAGTCTTTGAGTCTTTCTATTTTACGGACATACAATGATACAACTGTATCTTAAACTGTGTCTCCTTGGAGGCTGCCTTTCAAAATGATCAATCTCCAGGCATTTGCTCTGTACTTACTGCCAATTCAACAATAGAAGTCATATTTTTCTCTGGTCAAAGTTACAGTGGGTACTTGGTAAACTCTTTACAAATGTTTTTTGAAGCATTAAATCCTCCTGGCTGGCTCGCCACATTGGGTAACGATATATGGAGGTTTGACTCTGGCTGTAGGAACCCAAAGTCAAACTGGGAGACACAGGATCCTCAGAACTACAACAGTCTCCCAGTTATCAACTGATTTTTACATTTCGTTTTAATAAGCAATGAAAGCATTTTGTTGTTATTGTTATGCAACTTAAACAGAAAAGCCATATTGCACATTTAAATAAACTAATAGTACAATAAATCAAGTCAGCAGGAAGCAGAATGAAGGATTTTCTGTTTTATTCAGATTCATTCATACATGACATCATTTCCAGACATAAAGAGCCTCAGCAGCTTATTGCTTCCTGAAACTTAAAAACTCCTCAGCCTGCAGAGGCATCAGCCAATCAGGAGGGAAACCACGACATGTGTGACTAATGTGCGCCCCCTAGTGGTCAGCAGCACTCATTGCAGCCTCATGGTTTCCATCCAGAAGAAGCTGAAACAGACAGAGGAGCCGCTGTCTGGAATGGAAGAAACTTTCTGCTCTAAGTCTACTTTTCTGTTTTCGAAGGACATTTTAGGGAAATCAGAGGCAGAAATCCTTCTGGACCTTCATCACTCTTCACCAGAACATTTCCGTGCTGTTCTGTGAAGGAGTAACTTGGTATTGACGACTAACATCTGAAAATCCTGAGTCGGTTCAGTTTCTACAGTTTGGTTTGTTCTACATGGAGGAAGAATTGATCACTCTGATTGGTCAGACACCTGCGGACGTTCCTCCTGTTCGGTTCAGTAGCAGCGACAGGTGAGACAGGAACCCAGTTGCTCATCGGGTGGGTCTCGCCTCAGGTGTTGCCAGTTCAGACGCTGATGTCATCACAGTCCGGTCAGACCAGCAGCGTACAGCGGCCATCACTATGAGGTGGCAGCTTGTTTGTTGCGGAACGTCTCGAAGAACGCCATCATCCCTTTCCTCACATTGCTACTGCTGCCCTTTGGCATCGGCACCAACGTGGTGCTGCTGCTGCTGTTTCCATGGTAATGGGATGTCAGCGGGGGAAAGGCGACGCCATCCATGGAGTTGGCTCGTTTCACCTTGGAAGGAGTCGCACGCCAAGATTTGGTTCTGGGAGGCGGAGTCTGGGCCACCAGACACTTCTGGTACTGGAGCTGTTGGTAGGAGACAATGAGATGATCCACCAGCAGGGGGCGACAACACAATGGCTACAAAACACATGAATGACCACACAGTGTTGGGCATCCCAGGCAAATCAAGGTGGGTTTACTATTCAGATGTTTTCCCTTCATCATTTCCTTTAATACTCAATAATACCAGCAGTACTATCAATAGTACTATTAGTTGTACTATCACTGTGATATGGCCCCTAATTCCTGCAGGAGGAAACAGGAAGGCCTCCAGCTTTTCTCTAAGAGTGATGATATTTTTCTCTCTGTTTCTGAATTTCACAGATACTGAAATGTGAAAGTTTTTAGCTGTGTTTTTGATTCCCTGTAATAGCTGATAGTCCTCATCATCCTCACCATCATCATCATCCTCACCATGCACGCCGCCTGGACGGCCTCAGAAATGATCCCTGCATCCGGTTCACACCAGAACACGTGACACTCGAACTGCTGTGTCCCAGCGTCCATGATCACAGCAAAGGTGTGGCTGTCATGGCCGACACCCAGGAAGGTGAGAAATCGCACCTGGCATTCCCAGAGTGGCTCTTCTCCATCCTGCTGGCAACCAGCAACAGTTAAACAGGTGAGGCGACATATTACCTGAGCTCCACCAGCAGCGAGGACGATACCTCCCCCTTCCACAGCGACAGAACCCTGTCGCTGATGTGGATCACCGTTGGCTCCCAGTCGTCATGGTCTGTGGAGTTCATGATGCTTTCGATGGCTCTGTTCAACACCTCCATACCTGCAGAACAGCAGGTGGTCTGGCGGGTCGGTTACAAAACACCTCTTCATTGAGAACTGGGTCTACTGATCGGGATTAGCAGAGGCCTTGTCCACAAGTAGCTTTTGTACAAACAAATCTGTCACATCTGTTAAAAAGTCATATCTTACAGAGATCAATGTCAGAAAAGTTTTCATCCACATGAACAAATCTGCCCTGAGCATTGCCAGACCCATAGGGGGCATTGTAGCACAAAGTTAAAAGTGATAAGCCAATTAGAGCCAATTAGATTGCTTCTAAACAACCATGACTTTCTGTTAGACATGGCACCAGGAGTCACCTGCAGGTTGATCAACTTTTAAATACAATATTAGAACGTAAAGTCAATAAAAATACAAGACAATGTAGACTGGAAATTGTAGCAAAGCGATATCTTGAGATATATATATATATGTGTGTTTATATATATATATATATATATATATATATATATATATATATATATATATATATATATATATATATATATATATCCTTGCAGACTGGTCCATATATATATATATATATATATATATATATATATATATATATATATATATATATTATTGCCTTAACATCTGTTGCAGACTGCAATGTGTCAATACTAAGACTCCCCTTTCCTGTGAACACACACAAACACAGATTTTTCTCAAACCTCTGCTGTGGTTGGAGTTTTTATAAATAATAATTTTTAATGATATTAACCTGGGTTTTTGTACAGATGGAAAGACCAAATGCATGTAAATGTTTTTGTAGTCTTTGGCTAGGTGTGGATTAGCCCCCAGGCTGCTGGGAAACTGGGAACTAGATCTTTAGGATGTTCTGGAGCTGAAGACCCAGGGATGATTATCTGATTAGTCGGTTTAACGATCTGGGAACTAAAGCAAAGCTACCAAACACCCGGTGGACAACAGGTGAGTCTCTGTCCTACCCATGGCTCTGGACACCGGCAGGTTCCCAATGTACTGGACTTCAAACTTCTGGACCTGCTGTCTCACCGCCTCCAGAAACTCCACTGAAACAACAGAGAATGGTTATAGAACCGGTAAATGGTACCATGTGGACCCGGAGAAAGTGAGTCACCTTGTCTGGGCAGGTCTTCAGGTGAGATGCTCTCCATGGTCAGAGAACGCGACGGTCTCATCAGAGTTTTCTCCGACATCATCTGCACGGAAAAAATAAATTGGTGAGAACCGAACAGAGCAGGAGGAAACCGTGTTTCCATGACGATCAGTGAGGAGATGGCAAAGACTGGGTCTAACACAAAGTCCAATAGATCCAGGACCTCCTCCAACAGGTCCAACAGATCCAGGACCTCCTCCAACAGGTCCAACAGAACCATAACCTCCTTCAGCAGGTCCAGCAGACCTTTCTCCAATTGTGGTGATTGCTGATGTCTCCATTGCAGCAACCTGATGAGCTCCTGGTGCTCTGGAGTTGCTCAGACTGATGGTATTCAGTTGGTCAGTGTCCTGGTTCTGACCCGGACCACCAGGTTGGA